GGCCAAGACAATTTACTAGAATCCATAGTGGTTAATAATCATTGTCATAATTAGGCATTATACTTCATCTTATTTTTCTAACTTCAATCTTCTCTATTAATCTATTTTTCATCACGAAATTTAAGTTAAACTATCTGAAATATACCTGGAACATATTCTTCACTGAATGTAAGGTGGACACGATGTCTGACTGGCAACTCTGGCTGAAAGGTTATGTCATACATTCCATTCTCTTTACTTATCAGGTCGTGGGGAACAGTGGTGCCATCTGCCAGAATTATCACTTGCAACATTCCTTCACCTGCCTTACTTGCATCCACTAATTAAATAAATCAGAAGTAATAATAAAAAAAATTGTTTTGATCTTTGTTTTCTATCTTTTGTTAATCATTATAGAATATCGATGGTTTTTCAAACAAGAGGCTGTTTCTAAGCTATAATCTCATCGAAGGGCAACAGATGTGGCCGAAAAACATCCTTGAGTTTAAAAGACCATTGAAAATCTGTTAATTGCTATTGTGCCTCTGACGTCATTGATGTGTACATTGACATTGGCACATGCGCCCTTAGTTTCTAGCGATAATTTTCTATCTAACAGCATTGATTTGGTCTACCAGAATCACTTTTTTTCTTTATTTTTTTTAATCCACTTCTCTCTTCCACTTTTCATGGTTATTTTTTGTATGAACTCTTAGAAATAACTTCACTCGCTTGTATGCATGGATAACCAAAATCACAACTGTATAAACTTACCAGTAAATACGATTCATTACACACCAAGATTTCTTTTTCTTTTTCATCAAAATTTTAAAAACACTAGCTGACAAAATATGATGTGGGATCTATATTCTCATTGTGTGTGTAAATTTACTTTTTGATTTTTTTCTGTCAAAAGTATGAGATATGTATTGGAAATGATCAATTATATTGTTATTTCAAGAAAAGCAATAAAAAAAATGTTAAGCTATTGAAACAAAAATGGCTGAAATTAATCTCAGGTAAATCTTTATAGGTAAAGTCATGTGAATCAAGATATTTCACCTTAGCAATCCTGATTACAACACCTAACAATTGTTTAAATAGTGCTGAATAATAATAAAAATAAACTGACGAGTTGCAGAAATTGGTTGAATCAAATTTCCGGAAAAAAAGTTATGTAAACCCCAGAGCTTCCAAAAAATATTTGAGCCAGCCAGACATTTTTTGTCTTATCCCGATTTCAGTTCCTTAAGAATAAGTAACAAAAGGCAGGCATTTTAATCAGTTGGGCATCATATAAACAATGATTGACACAAAAACGATTTAAAACTTGACAGTTAATATAAGTTCGATGTTCTGACGTAAAATGTTCAATTTTTACAGTGCATCATTCGAAGTGTGCAATATTAGCGTACTAATATCTGCATTAGACTCTTTATTTGAGGAAAATACCGCTGTCAAAAACTTTCGATTTTAAAAACACGTTTTTCTAATACCGAATGTTGACTTGACAATGGTAAAACATGGACCAGAGACGTATACGTAAAATCAGTGTACGTTTTTAAAGCACGATTGAGTTTAAGTAGCTCTTTCCACGTTATTTCTTCAGGAAAATACTCGAAATGAACGTTAGATAAAGGTATCAATGATAATTTTAGCATTTTTGAAAAATTCGGATGCATAATTAAAACCTCACACCTTTGCATATGTGCACACGTGTACTAGTTGAAACAACGTGGTTCTGACCATTTTTCGCTTGAAACCTTTATTACTATCTTTTTTATTTTTTCATCAAACATGTTCATATACGTATTTCTGATTATCTAAATCTTTTTGACTAAATTGATCAAATGCAAACCGCTGAAATTTAAAAATAATACTTTTAAATAGACCGATCAATGTCCGGCACAAATAGTTTACCCGACACAGGTGATCACATGTAAATCTCACCTGTTACACTTAATTAACCTTGATTGTAATGAGGGGATTGTAGTAGGGCTTGTTTATAGAGTACTGTCACTTTAATGAACGGAAAAGTGTGGCTGTTTAAGGCACAAGGTCATGTTAAAATTTTTCTGAATCACATGAACGTTGAAATGGCAAACCTACGTTGGATGTCCATTTCATGCTTGGCCCAGTTGGACAATGTTCAATAAATTTAAATTTGTCCGGCAAATATGACTGATTTGGAAACCTTGGTAAACCCTAAGATAAGCTAACCTTAATCAAGGACTAAGATTTCATAGAAAACTAATTCATTGTCAACATATCATACCATGTAAGGTACATTCCTCTTTAGTGAAACATCTATCCACCAATGTAACCTCAACTTCTGAAGGTCCAAATGTTTTAAATGTGTATGGACTATCCATTATATGATGATCACCAATTTTTAAGTCTATTTGATATTCACCTGAAATATGTATATATATATTATCTATAACTAGATGAAAATCAACGTTGCAAGATGAATCTTGTAGGAAAGAAATCTCCAAAAGAAAACTGATGGAAATAAATAGTCAAACTTATTAAGTTATTATTTAATTTAAATTTGAATGTGATGACAATAAACAAATTGTTAGCCAGTATATACTTCTGCTTAAACATCAGATCTGTTGTATCATGTCACACTTTTAGAAAAGCAATCAAATAATAGAAGTTTGAATGTAACATGGGATCAACTTACCAAATGAGTTATGATCTATGATCGATGAGTTATGATTTGTTTTATTAAAAAAATAATACATGGCTTTAAGTGTTTTGCTGAGAAATTAAAATCAAATGGGCTTGACATAATTGTAATAGACAAGTCTGTTGTTTAAGACCATATGTTGACCTCTTGTAGTCTTTTGGGTTTTCTATCTTCATTGTTTGTTTTGTTCTGTATTATTCATGTATAATCCACATCTCCTTTTATTTATACATAAAATTCCTTTGATATTTGGATATTTCACAGTATTACTTGGAAATGTTGTATTGTGAAATCAACCAAATATTCTTTTCCTCCTTATGGGACCCCTCCCCTCCAATTATTTCCATAGAAAAATCATTCGAAAAGTGGAGAGCACTTCATATTGCATCAAACAATATCTGCAAGCAAGTTGAAAAAGTCTGAACAACTTAGATTTTGGAAAATAGAGACAAAAGATACCATTCCACTGCTAAAGAAGAAATCATCTTACCAACTTCTTTTGGCACAAATTCTACCAACAGTTCCTTCTCTGAATTGTCATGTGAAGTTTTTACTAACATTTTCTTTCCAGAGGGACCTACAATATATTTGAAAAACTGCAGAATTTAGTTTCTTGTCTCTTATTTATACATATTAATCTTCTACTTCTACCATGACCTATCCAATTTTTTTTAATTACGATACTTTTTTAAAGTTCAAGCCATTGTCAAAATCAACTTGCAGTGCATCAAATTTTTCTAAAACTGTTTTCAATTTCAACACATTAAAATTATAATTTCACCAAATGTATGCAGCAATTCACAATATTTACATCCTCTATATGAAAGAAATTGTGTGTTCACTGCATCATTTAAAACCAAATTGTTACCATTTCTCTTTCATTGTTTTATCAAAATCTTATAACACAACGATATAACAATTACATTTTTATGTTAATTGAGTACTCACCAAAATTAGTGATCTATTACATCTTCGAACATCTGGCATGCATTTCTTCCCAAGCTACTTCATGCAAAAATTCACCACATCAAAGCAAAACGGTTTAATATCGGCTAAAAGTCAATACTAATTCTAGCAATTCTCGAGCATAAAATCTCAAAATTACATGCATCTACTCCCAAATTCATACTTTTACAATGAAATTCTCAATAATATAAAATTTTACTACTGGGATAAAATTAATAAACAAATATGATAACTCCACCAACAGTACTAATAACAGGTAGTATACTAATTAATAAACAAATCAAATAAACAAAGTATCTGGCAAGCACATGGGACACACAAATGCTCCAAAAAGTTAAAACTGCATACCTGGCAAAGCTTGGAACAGAAGTCTGTGATAATGATTCAGAAATAATTTTTTTAAGTTATAGTTTAGTAATTTTATCAGCTTTTACTTAAATCATAATATGCAAATGGAGTTTATAATTCTCTTTTTTTTTGCCAAAACACAGACCTAATAAATTTTATTTTGATATCAAACCACATCTTGGGAATAAAAACTATGTTAACAGAGTGATAGCAATCAATGAACAAAAAATTCAAACAACCTTTTTTCAGAGTAAAAAAAATACCAAGATAAGCTATTTAAATTTGGCTAACAAAGGTTACTGAGACTTAAGGTCAACTAAAAGATCCAAATCAATTTAAAAGATTTTGGAAGTCTATTTGTATTTTCATAGTCCTTATTTTTTCCCCATTCCCAGGTATGCAATTAACAACCTTTTCATTTGCTACTTCAATAGATCCGTTTATAGTTGTCATGCCACATACACCCATGCTGAAAAATCTGAAAATCTAAAAATAATTGTTAATAAAATGCAATACCTGAAACAAGCAGCTTTGTAAAAAGTATTAGTAAAATTTGAATATCAATATATGTCTTTTTAAACACAGTTAATATGGTCTTAGTTGATATACATGCGGTAGATAAATGGGAACATACTATGAACACATAATCAAAAATCCTTCCTTTTGTTTTTTGTAGGACTGACAGGAAATAGTGCAACTCGGGTCGGCTCATTTCTAAGCTTACCTTGTATATCAGAGAGAGTAACATCTATTTTGAGGTTAGAAACCATTCTTTGCTAATCTACTCAACAGCACACCATATTAAAAAAAAATACTTTTTCATGTTCTTAATTTCCAAGGAATTATTTCAAACAAAGAATTTAATGGTTTCTCATTTCCATGGTAAATGGTAAACTCTTTCCTGGCTATTTTTGACAGATATGCACTTGGTATTTCAAATTACTTAAAGCTGACATTTTTGGACCCTGAACCATAATAGTTTCATTTCTTACTTGTTTCCCAGCAAACTACTTACTATAAATCTGTACATCGACAGTGGATTCTAAGGATCCTACACCTTCTGACTGAATGGTAAAGGATGTGGCTTTGTCTGTAGGCAGCACACTCTTCAGTCCTCTGACCAGAGCACCAGTCATGTCTAATGCCATGCAGGTAAATGGAGAATCTGGATTTTAAAAGATAAAAGGGGAGATAATTCAAAGATGTACAAGAACTTTTTGTCTTATTGACTAACCTTATGACTGAAACCATGTTAATCATCCAAGGAATGCTGTAAAAGTTTGTTGGGTGAACACACTTTTAAATAAGGCATTTTGTGCAGTGGACATAATTCATATAATTTTACTGATAGGGAAAATGCAAAAACATTTAATAATTTCAAAAAATTCAAAAATACATAAAACATTGTTTAAATTTTCAAAAGTAAAATTGTGATACTTAAAGATTATCTATGATTTCTGAAAAGGACGAGAGTTTCTCAGATACAAATTCATCTCAGTCCAGTTGGAAAGACCATAGATATCACATTCTATCTCTACTTGACAGATGAAAACCCATCTCAGTCTTGCAGCTTGATGGAAAGTTATGACAACGAAATGGAAAAAAGGAAAATTTGTGATTATGAAAATGGAAATTAAATTAATTTTTGCTTTTTTTTTTTACAAAAATACCTGGTAATGGTTCCCTGTTGAAATTTATATCCACATACTGTTTCCCTGCCTGTTCTGGTATAAAGGCTATCTTATAAACTCCAGCATTCTCCATTTCTACTGTGTTAGGAAGATTACCATTATTGACCATAATTTCTAACTGGCCTTCTCCTGCACTTGTTACATCAACTTTGAAAAGAAAATTTTGACATCTAAATATTTTACCGTGGTTAGATTCATAGTATGTTTACAGTAACCAATATTAGTGTTAGATTCAAATATTGGTACAGTGTCTGCTTAAATTTCTGTTCCTTCATTTTTCAAAACTAGTGAAATTGTGTTTTAACTTTTTGATCATTAAACATTGTTAATAAACTTATGACTGACATAATTAAATCACAATTTTGAATTCATGATTAAAAAAAAAGGAAGTATATGACAAAACTGTATTTAAAAAGAAATTTTTAAAATGCTAACAATGCAATCCTTTGTTTAAGGAAAAAAAGATTATGGAACAATTTACCAAAATGTTATGCATAGTGGGAGTCTAAAAAATCTACCTCCAAACCCCAAGGAAAATTATTTCTGGAATAATCCTTTGTAGAAAAAAACGTTTTTTCATCATCGAGATGACATGCATTAAAAGAATTTTTTTCATCAGCAGACTTCCACTAGAAGGGTCAGTTCTATTTTCCAAAATTTATTTAAATAATTAAATGTTTATTTTTCGTGGATGAGTAAAAGTTGTACTTTCATGGATATTTGATTTTATGGTTTTGCCAAAGTCTGCATACAAGTGTGTAGAAAATTTGTGCTTTATAGTTGAACATTTTTAACTTCTGGTTTATTTTATTCCCACAAAATACACAAAAATTGGTATCCCAAGAACAAAAAGGAATCTACTAAAGATCAGAAGCTTCACTATATGATGTTTCCTTTGAATATCAAGATAATTTTTACCAGAAACCTTGTTTTAACTTACTTGTAAAATCTACTGATTTACCAACCAGTGTATCACCAAACCTTGATACCCTGATAGCATGTGTATCATAAGCCTTAGCTGTAAACGGACTGCCTTCAATCTCACTATCACCATACTTTATCTCAATTCTGTGATCACCTAAAATTACAAGAATATTTATTTTCAAACTTGTCAAATTTAAGAAAGTTGAAAAATAAAAAGTACGTATTAATGTGAATTTCTATTCTTCAAAAAAGTTTAAGATGAACAGAAATTTCATGTTACTTGTATATGGAACTTCAAAAATGAATGTTTGAATGAAAAGAGGGATTATTTAACAACTGGTGCTAACAACTGTTCACCATGAGAAGTAAAGCAACAGTTTTCAGACATTTTTTACTGTTTAAATCAAAATTCAATTCTTTCTTCAAATATGCTTTTATGATAATATGCGAGCATGTTCAGAAAATATCATAGATGGTAAAGAGCTACATTTTCTTTTAAATTTTTGGATAAATATCATAATTCATATTAAAACGAAAATTTAGCATTTTGTCATATTCATAGCAACTTATAAGCATGGAAGAACATTATAGAAGAGCCTTTTACATAAGGAGCACCCAACATGCAAGAGTAGTTTTTTCAGAGAAACCATTCTCCACAGAACATCTGATGTGTTTCAATAAAACTTGAATTAAAACATTGTATTAAGTCACTTGTATATGCTACCCTTTGCATATTTCTGACAAAATATCATATCTTAATTTACATGCATTTGGGTAAAACAGATGTATAGGCAAGAATTGCATCTTGGCAAGAGCTACTCCCAGGCAAGAAATCTCCCTGATTTGTCTCAGACTACTGACCAACTTCTGTAGGGATGTATTCCACAGTGTGTCCCTCTTTTGTCCTTCTGATGTTGTATGGCACTGTTCTTTTACTTGGTGCTGAAAAGAATAAATATCATCTTAGAATGTTTCAGAAAATCAACTCATATAACAAAGCTTTGTCCAATAACAAAATCATTCGCAAATCCTATCTATACATGATGTTAAAACACACGTTAGTCTGTGCAATTAGCTAAACTAAAAGTGCAAGGTATAATAACAAAATGACTGAATAGAACACATCATAGTTTTTCATTTCATTTATTAAAAACATCATTTACAATTGTTTTTACATATAATATCCCTTTTCAGTTTAAATAACACTTTGACCTTTTACAAAATCAAATTGATCTTCATAGCTTTCAGCATAAGAAAGGATGAAAGATATTTAATTATTTGGTATTTTTAAGAATTGAGATTGATAACTGCATGGCAATAAGCAAGCAAAGACACAAGAAAAAGAAGGCCATGAAAAAAAGCATTGGAAACCAGTATTTACTTTGTAAATAAGTATACTATATCAGAAGAAAATACTTCAAACAAGTAAATAAAAAAGAATTGACAAATAAAATCAATATTTCTGACTATATTTGCATCATGTCTGGATATTATCAGAATATAATGCATTATCCATTTACTAAGAAATAACATTTACTGCCTTTTTCCAAGAATGTTTGAAAGATTGTCATAATATCTATTTTGTGGACATTCCTTGATTTTATACTTCTCCATTCATGGGCAGTAACTCAAAAAATGTCATCACAGATGGACATATTTCATCCCCATAAGGTAAAACCTCTGTAGAATACCTTAAAAACAACCTCAATGGTAGGAGTTCAAAATAGAGCCTTCTTGAAGAACCCATGCGTACAACAAACATTTCATAAAAAATGAAGTGGTCAAATAGTTTATCAAATTAAGACATCCTGCATTATATATATTTATCAAAAGCACTTTTCTAGAGTATAAATAAAGGATATGTGGGGTATACATAAAGAAGACATCAACTCAATGACACAGAAAAACCAAAAGACACCTTTAATCATATCATACACTCAAAATGTTGGGTGGAAAAATGCATAGATTATCGCCAATCATAGCTTCAAGGGCCTTAAAAGCATGACCAAAAACATCTAACTTTTTTTATAGGAAATTTGAATAAATAATGTATCTCAAGTAGTTGTGTTTGCTAAGAAACTAGTAAATGCATGATTTCATGTTTTACATCTTTCCACCATTTTACCTGATATTTTTAAATGCAAAAATGATTGATTTATCTCCCCCTTGTTATTGATATTAAAGCTAGCAGTTTTATTTGTGTGACATAAATATAATCCATCTCCATTGATGTAGAAACTCTTTGGGTCTATCACTGCTACAGTCCATGGACTTCCTGAAAAGAAAACCACAACAATGATGACTAATCTTTAAAATAATCTGACAAAATCAAATCTGATGTACTATCAATTTGCTTCTGATAAAAAATCATGTGAATTGCAATTTTAATTATATTACTCAATTGACAACTTGCTGAGCTGTGTAAAGTCTTTTTAAATTGCATTTCTCTTGAGGTTTAAATCAATTATTGAAAAATTTTGTAAAGAAAAGTTACTTCCTAACTTAATTAGGAGACATAGGTCTTTACCAGGTCCTGACATTGACTGAACAATATTTAGTTTTTATTCTCAAAGCTTATTTTTCTTATTTTTTTCAAGAATATCTTTTATATGTCAATTATCTTACAGAAACCCATCTTGATAATACACTGATTTATTTGTTATTTTGTTGTTAGGTTTCTGTCTCTTTAAAGTTTACTGTGCATCCCTCTTTATTCATTTTGTCTAATCAATGCTTCTTATTTACCTATAACTTCTTTTTTATTGAACTTCATCTCTACCAAATGAGGCTTTGGACCTTCTGGTATAAATGATGCTTCAAAATATTTGTCCTCATGTTCATTAAGGGTCTGTACTTGACAAGGTATAGTCCCACTATTAATCATTATTTCTATGTTTCCTGGTCCAGCCTTTTCAGCATTTACTGCAATAAATCAAGACATCACAACCATATTAACAAACTGTTAACACGGACACATGTTTTGCTTGTGTAACATATTCAACAAATGGTGGCACCCTAATGCCGTCTTGCATTGACACAATAATTGTGTTAATATATAAAAAAAATCTTAAAAGTTGGACTTTACTATTATTATATATGGCAATTCAGACACACGAATAGTATTTCATGTATGTCTATAACAGGTCTTCCAAAAAATATTTGTGCCAGCCTGACATTTTTTGTCTTATCCCTATTTTTATCCCTTAAGACTACGTAAAAAAAGGCAATCATGCTTATCAGTTGGGCATCACTTAAACAATGAATGATTGACATAAAAACGATATTAAACTTGACTTTTGATACAAATTCGATGTACTGACGTAAGCTGTTAAATTGACAGTGTATCATTCGAAGTGTGCAACATTAGCGAACTAATATCTGCTTTAGGATCTTTATTTGTGCAAAATTACATTGTCAAAGTCTTTACTTTCATTTTTTGAAGGTACATTTTCTTATACCGGATTTTGACTTGACAATGGTAAAACACGGACCAGAGACGGATACGAAAAATCCGTGTATTTACAAAGCACAATTGAGTTTAAGTACCTCTTTCCAACGTTATTTCTTCAAGAAAATACTTGAAATGAATGTTAGATAAAGCTAAGGTACCAATGATAATTTTAGCATTTTTGAAGAATTCGGATGCATAATCAAATCTCACAACTGCGCACATGCGCACACGTGTACTTTGTTCAAACAACGTGGTCCTGACGATTTTTTGGCTTTTTTAAAAAAAACCTTTATAACTACCTTTTAAAAATTTTCATCAAATCATATTTATATACATATTTTTGATAATTTAAATCTTTTTGATTAAATTAATTAGATGCAAACCGCTGAAATTTATGAAAATAACTTCAAATAGACCGATCAATGTCCGCTACATATTAGTTTACCTGTCACCTGAACAGGTAAATTTCAACTGTCTGACAACTAATTAACTTTTATTGTAATGAGAGGGTATTAAAGTAGGATTTGTTTTGATAGTACTTATTCACCATGTCACTTTTATGACTGGAAATGTGGCTGTTTAAGGCAAAAGGTCAGGTCAAAAAGATCGCAAAAACTTCATTTCTTTCTGAATTATGTTAAAATGGCAAACCCACGTTAAATGTACGTTTAGGTTTGGCACAACAAGTCATATTTATAATTTATCGGTCATGTCCGGAAAATACGACCGTTTTGGAAGCCCTGGTCTATAATTATTTCAATCAACAAAGGGGGTTCAAAAGAATATAATTCTGACACTTTTCCTAAATGTATTACATATATGGTGTCAATGTAGTTTGCGCAGGAAACATAGAATGCTATGTGTTCTTGCTGTTGTTTGTTTTTTTACTTATGTTCTGAAACCCAATACTTTTTTCTACAATTTTTTTAGGTAATAGAAAAAACTTACTATTGAATTTGACAGGGTTCCCATACATACACACTGGAGGCACATTTGAAACAATAATACCATCAGAACTGTACACTTTAGCTTTAAATGGTCCACTTTGAATAGGATGGCCACCATGAAATACATCAATTTTATGTTCACCTAAAGAAATAAAGTGAAAATACATATTTCAAAAACAAATAAAAAGAATAAACTAAAATAAAGATTATATAGCTAGCTAACTTTTCCAATAACAAAAAAAACAATGGGTTTCATAACCTATAACAAAAATATATCAAACAACCTGTCCTATAACCAAGATATCTGGCTACCTGTATTTTTACTAAAATATATTTGATTACCTGTCTTATAACAAAGATATCTGGTTACTTGTCCTATAAAAAAGATATCTGTCTGCCTGTCTTATAATGAATATATCTGTCTACCCGTGTTACAACAAAGATATCTGGTTACTTGTCCTATATCGAGAATATCTAGTTAAACAAGGAATTATTTGAATCTGGAATAATTTGGAATTCTGGAAATGTATGATGAAAACTAACCCAACTAAATAGGGTTAGCCATGCGGGCATGGCTAGGTTAATTTTACTTTCCCTGTTATTTCAGTATGAACTAACTAACCCCCTTAGCCATGCATGGCTACCCCTATTTAGTTGGGTGTTTTCATGACACATTTCTTATCAATTTCCCAGAATTAAAAATTATTCCAGATTCAAATAATTCCTTGTTGTTACTCCTATAACAAAGATATCTGGTCACCTGTCCTAAAACAAGACTTTTGTCTACCTGTCCTATAACAAAGATATCTGGCTACCTATTACATAACAAAGATATTTGATGACCTGTCCTATAACAAAGATGTCTAGTCACCTGTCCTAAAACAAGACTTCTGTCTACCTGTCCTATGACAAAGATATCTGGTTACTTGTCCTAGAACAAAGATAGCAGGCAACCTGTCTTTTAACAAAGATATCTGGCTACCTGTCCCATAAAAAGTCATAAAGAATCAAATCAGAAAATCCAGCAACTGTTGACTCCATGCATTAATTGAAACGAGTTAATTCAACAAGTGCAAAGTCAAAACATTTTTTGTGCTTCTTACAATAAATTTTCCAATTTCATTGTTACATCATCGCAAAATGGAACATTTATTTTAAATTTTGTAACGTCATAGACAGTTGGAGCAAATTTACTGATGTTGATGCCACAATTATTTTTTTTCATATAGAAAATAGAAGATAACTAAAAACTGTAGAGGATTTTACAGACAGAGATGTAAAATCGTCATAATGTCAAAATCCTAACATACATACTTTCCTTTGAAATAAACAAGTGCTATGTTAAGTCAAAAAGACTAATGGCAACAAAAAAGTGTTCACTTTTATTACCATTTGAAAAAAAGAATTTGAGGGATTTGTATTGATTTGGTTAGTACAGGTTGGCAGCATGGACCAATAATATTATTACACTGATTTTTTTCTTTTGATTCTATTTCATAATACAAATTAAGAATAATTTATTTGTACTAAAAAAATGAATTTGTTGATGTCATATATTTTACATCACCTCTTTATAGTAATAAATATATCATTTTATATACAAAATTCGGTCCCAGATTTTCAAGAAATAGCAATTTAAAATGAACGACAAATTTTGCACCTTCTTCAATAATGATGTACACTCTTTACAAATTTTTAAAAATTATTCTATCCCTAGAAGCTATGAATTATTTTTGTCTACAACATTCACATGTAGTTCAACAAGTTCTAATATGCTAAATGCAAATAAAATTTCATTAAAATCCAAAAATTCCACATACATATACTTTGCCTTAGAGGGAAAAATGAAATTTGCAGATATTTTTAAAGCAATCTGAGTGCATATTTCATTCAAGTTGTCATATAAAATGAACAATAATTAAAATATCTACAAACCATAGATTTTTCAACAAATGACTGTGATTAGAAAAATAATCCTCACAAATGAAAGTCCTTTCACAGAATCATAAATACCCTCATCAGTTGCATGATCCAACATATTAAGAACCTCAAAAGCTTTAGTGGAAAATGACAATGACTCTCTAGAATATACATTTTGTATGCTAGGAGTCCTGTATTCAATGAGACTGTCACAGAAATATCTTGGTTTTACCACTGCCATGTTGACCTAATCTTAACTTATCCTTATCAATCCAGGAACAAACAACAAACTGTTTTTGTGTTCTGATGTGAGTACATAGGTGAGTAAAAGTTCAGTGTGTGAACTTGATTAACCTTGAAGTCACACTCCAGTGATTATACATGTCAACACAATCTTAAATGATTAAAAGCTCACATAGGAAAGTTAACTCCAGGCATTCCTTCAATGACTCATTTGAGCTATTCACAGTGTGCAGTAAGTTTAAAAAAAAAAATCATAGACCTATTCACTTTTCAGTTGGAACAGAAATTGGCTAATCAATATATTTGAGCCGTAAAAGAAATATTATCTATTCAGGATATGCCAGTTAACACCAAAAGGAGTTCCATAAAACCATAAAAGACAATAATCAGAGTGACCATTTTCCTTTTTATTTAAAATGCCTCTTAGTTCATTATAAAATTATAATGATATTTTAAAGTAACTGAATTTTTTTGGGCCCAATAACAATTTGAGATGGCATATAAATTTAAATATATTTTTCAAACATTTCTTTTGAAATGTCGACTTTTTTTTCGCTCTTGAAAATTTATGTTAAAAAATGGAATAATATGGACTAAAACGGAAGACAAATTGAACAATTTAAGTGATTTATGTGAAAGGAACTGTGAAATTTCTATATGAGTCCAAAAAAGAAAGCCAAAAATTCAAAGAAAAGGAAAAACACGAGTGTTCAAAATGTAAGTGGTGAGAAACCAAATAAAAAGACACTGAAATCTACTCACACGCCTATATCGAATGTAAACAAAAACAATGCAAGTCAAAATAAAACCGCTAGTAATGTAATTAAAACTGTGAATATGGATACGTTTAACGTTCCAGTTTATGATTCCCCCATGATCCAACAAAACAGATCACAGTTTCAACAGTATGCTCCATCGCAGCAGCCGATTCCAAATCCAAATTTCACTCAACTTTCGCCAACACTACCAGCTGCTGGGTTTTACACAAGTACCCCACACAATTTACAACCAATGATGAATCCTGCTATAGATGCAAACAATAAACTTGATATACTTACCCAGAAAGTTATCGAAATTTGCGACAAAATGTCGGTTATAGATGAACTGTCTAAAAAATTAAATTCGTTTGATAAAACTGTCCAAACCTTAGTGAAAACAGTCGAAAATGTATCCAAAAGAGTCGATGAGGTCGAAAAGAGCATGAACTTTGTGAACGAACAATTTGAACATAATAAAAATGATGTTAAGGAGGTTAGAAGTGCTTTTAATGAAATTCGATCCGAAAAAGATTCCACTAATAACACAATCTTCCGACTACAACAAGATCTAGATGACTTATATGATCGGCACATAGATCTCCAAACAAGATCAATGCGGGAGAATCTGATTTTCACTGGAATACCGCTTCATGATAAAGACGAACAAACGGAACAAACGGAAAAAATCATTGAAAACTTTATGGTCGATCAACTCAAACTTAACAGACTCGCGGAATACGAACGTGCTCACCGTTTTGGGAAGGAATATATTGAGAGAAACAAAGATGGCTCAGTTAAATTTGCAACAAAGCCAATTGTCTGTAGATTCAGAAACTTTAAAGAACGCGAGTTTGTTCGAAAAGCCGCAAGAGAATTGAGAGGTACTGGTTTCGGCATTAGTGAGCAGTTTCCTAAAGAAATTAATGACAGACGAAAATCGTTATGGCCATTCTTCCAAGAAGCACGAAGACAGAGTAAAAAGGCATTCTTTAGGAGGGATCGCCTCTTCATAGATGGAGTTGAATTTTTTCCACCAGAGAAAACCGATCAGCAAAACTCTGGAGTGTCAAGACAACAACTGAGACGAAACTACGATGATGAAGGCGCTCGCCCAAAATCAACTCAAAGAAAAAACAACGGGAGACGTTTCCAAAAACAATATTAGGACAACCCTGGAGGCAAAGATACAGAACGAAGTGACCAGTCAACCGATACCTGTGACTTTCACCTTTGTGATTCGAATTTAACTGTAAATAAAACTGACAATATTATTAACCTGTTATGTTTAAACGTATGTGGTATTAAAAATAGATTACTTTACCCTGAATTTAAATCCCTATTGTGTAATCATGATATTATCTGTCTTACAGAAACTAAACTAGATGATTGCGACTTAATTAATTGTGATTAATTTATTTTTAGTTTTAAAAATAGACACAAACTTTCTAACCATAGATCTGGTGGTATTGCATTGGGTTACCGGAAGTATTTAGAAAAATATATTAAACCTATTGAAACTGAATGCAAATTTGTTTATTGGTTTACTATTGATAAGAAAGTTTTAAATTTACCTAAAAACGTTTTTATTGGTATAGTTTACATACCACCAGTAAATACAAATTATACATCTGAAGAAGCTTTTAATGAGATAGAACTTGAACTTCAGAGATTTTCTGAAAAATCTGATTATATTATTTTGGTTGGAGACTTTAACAGTCGAACAGCAAATTTGTCCGATTTTTATGATGAAGATGATATAGATGATTTTGTTATTGACAACCTTACTAATCAATCTGATTATACTGATGTATATATGTTAGACGATTTAAATATATCAAGAACAAGAAATAATCCAGACAAAGTTGTAAATTGTTATGGGAGAAAGTTTCTTGAATTTTGTAAAAATAACAAAGTATTTATTTTAAACGGTAGAGTTGGTCAAGATGTTATTGGTCGACCTACCAGTAGAAATAATAGTGTTATAGATTATATTGTTTGTACTTCACACTTTTTAAGATGCGTATCGAATTTTGAAGTTCTCGAATTTTCTAAACTTTTTTCTGATGTTCACTCACCTATGAAACTATCTATTAATATGGTGAACCCTTCATTTGAACTACACACTACAGAGTTATCCTACCAAGAAGAAAATAAAATTGGAAAATGGAAATTTGAGCAAGTGAATGATTTCAAGAATAACATAGATGGTGACAAAATAAGAAATGTTATTGATGAATTATCTGTTTATAGTAATCAAGAAAATGTAACAAAATATGAAATAAATACTGTAGTTACAAATATTACTGATATTTTAATTGATTCTGCAAAAGCAACATTTGGTACACATAATTTTAATAGAAATATGCTGAATTGTAATAGAAAGCATAATAAACAATGGTATAATTTTGATTGTAAAAAGGCAAAGAAAGAACTGAGAAAGGCACAAAGAATGTATAAACATTATGGGTCAAATTTATTTAAAGAACGATTACGACACTGTGAATATTACTATAAAAGTGTAATGGATGAAAACATTAAGAAGTATAATAAAGAAATAACTGATAATATGAAAAAATTAAAATCCAAAAATCCCAAAGAATTTTGGAAACTTTTTAACAGAGGTAGACAACGAGAAAAAAGCAATATATCTATTGAAACTTTATTTGATTTTTTTAAAGAATTGAATGAAAACAAGTTTGAAGACGAGTTTGTCATCGATAATGATTTGAACTCTGATCATGTAAATGAGACACTGAATGGTGTAATTACACATGACGAAATTATTAAAGCTATTAAAAAGGCGAAAAACAACAAATCGCCAGGTGAAGATAAAATAATCAATGAATATGTTGCAAATTCTCTTGACAGTATGATTGATGTTTATTCTAAATTGTTTAATCTTATTTTTGATACGGGTATTCTGCCGGAGGCCTGGCTTATTGGAAACATAATACCAGTGTTCAAGAACAAAGGATGTCAATTAGAAGCAAAAAATTATAGGCCTATTACTTTATTGTCATGCCTCGGTAAGATTTTTACATCTATTCTTAATGATAGATTGGGGGAATTTGTTGATGAACTAAATATCTTGAACGAAAACCAAGCAGGCTTCCGACAGGGCTACTCTACCAACGATCATATTTTTTCATTATATGCACTCTTCGAGTTGCTATGTGTCAAACGAAAAAAATTACATTGTGTATTCGTTGACTTTGAAAAAGCCTTCGACTTTGTTCAAAGAAACTCACTTCTGTATAAGCTTGTTTTAAATAAGATAACTGGTAAATTTCTTAGAATTGTAGAAAATTTGTATAAAGATGTTAAATCAAGAGTTGTACATAATAATGAAGCATCTGACATGTTTGTAAGTGATATTGGAGTCCGCCAAGGAGAAAATCTTTCTCCTTTATTATTTTCTTTATATTTAAATGATCTTCATGGATTTTTAGAAAATAGCGATTTGAAAGGTATACATTCAATTACTTCTGATATAGAAGATGAACTGGATATTTATTTTAAGATATTTGTCTTATTGTATGCCGACGATTCGATTTTACTCGCTGAGACAAGCACAGATCTGCAATTACTTTTAAATAGTTTTTCTCAATATTGTGAAAAGTGGAAACTTAAAATTAATGTTAACAAGACAAAGGTAATGATATTTTCAAAAGGTAGACCACAGAATAATTTGAAGTTTTATATTAATAACGAAGAGATAGAAATTGTTAAGAAGTATAAATACCTTGGTGTTATATTCTCTAGAAATGCTTCTTTTTTTGCAACTAGAAAATATCTTAAAGATCAAGCTACTAGAGCTATGTATTGTGTTATTAAGAAGTGTAGATCTAACCATCTATCTATAGAATGTCAGCTCGATACGTTTGATAAAGCTGTTTTACCTATACTTTTATATGGGGCCGAAATCTGGGGATACGAAAATCTTGACATTTTGGAAAGGGTACATTTGAGTTTTTGTAAACATGTTTTACGGTTAAAAAGATCGACTCCAAATTTTATGGTTTACGGGGAATTGGGAAGATATCTTATTTCTTTATACGTTAAATTACGGATGATAAAATTTTGGTGTAACCTTCTTGATAACACACTTGATAACAAGATTTCGTCAATGTTATATAAGTTGATATATATTAATTTTAATAAGTATGGAATTGAAAACAAATGGTTGTTATGTATCAAAAGTATTTTTGATAATTGTGGAATGTCAAACATATGGCAAAATCAAGATTGTATCTCAAAAAAATGGATTGTATTAAGCGTTGAACAAAAGTTAAAAGATCAGTTTAGACAAGAATGGCTAGCAAATGTAAATCAATCATCAAAAGGTCTATGTTATAAATTATTCAAAACAGAACTTAAATTTGAAAATTATATTTCAATTTTATCGTTAAATAATGCACTGAAACTATGTAAATTTAGATGTGGCAATCACCGTTTGCCAGTGGAGACAGGGAGGTGGCAAAATGTTCAAAGACCCGAGAGACTATGCCACCTTTGTGAATCTACTGACATCGGCGATGAATTCCATTATGTAATGTCTTGTCCTTTTTTCAAAAAAGAACGATATAAATATTTACCACGCTATTGTTGTACAAATGTTAATATTCTTAAATTTAAAAATGTATTCACTACAGTCAATATTGTCTTAATAGAAAAATTGTGTAGATTTATAAACTATATATCAGTGAAAGTCTGTCCTCCTGGTTAAATTACATTTATTTATGTATATTTCACACATGCAAAATATGTTGTATTTTGTTTATATTTTCATCTCTGTAACTATGTCATTTAGTTAATGAGAATAAAGATCTATGTATGTCTTTATTTCTTAATTTTTCGCCAAATAAGAAATAATAAAATAAAGCAATAATTAATTGTTTAAATGCACATACATGTATTGAATCCCAAGAGAAATAGCTAATAATAAAAAAAACAAAGGAAGTTACTGATACATGTTTAAAATTATATTACAGAAGCAGGAATGAGATACTACCTAAAGCAGAGATACAACAGCATATGAAACATAAAATCAATTGCTCACCAAACTTATTTTTTGAACATTTTGACCCAAAAAAAAACATATATTTAAAGCAGCTAAATTCCAAATCAGTGAAATATGATTGAGGGTGTGAGGCATCATTTGGTATGAAATGTGAAATTGCAGCAAATAGTCCTATGATACTTATTCTGATGGAACTAATAGCATTCCACTGCTGACTATCATATTCATCACAAACAGACAAAAATTGTCTTAAAGATCTAAAATCTGCATTATTTAAATTTTGCAAATGGTTCTTAGTCTACTCACCTACTTCTGTTGGGATATATTCAACTTGGTAAAGTCCGCTGCTTTTTCTTTTTACCACTTTGTTTACCCGTTGTCCTGATGGACCTGCAAGTCAAAATGTATGGTCAATTTTTCCTCTTACGAGAAATTTTCTTAATCACGCTAATAAAATTTCTAGTGAAAAGACGAGAGCAAATAACAAGTAAAAGTGTGCACAAATGTGAATAACTAAAATTAAACATTCATGGCAGCAAGAAAATGAAGATTCTACAAAAACAAAATAGAATATATTTACTCTTAATTTGACATTGATTGTTAAAAGATAAGCTATTTATTCAAGCTTTAGCTTCTTTTAAAGCTATTAAAATTTTCTGAAATAAACTTATTTGTTGAGGATTTTTTGGAAATTTCTTCTGTTTCACATAAAGCACCTTACAGATATCATAAACTTCTTAAGATTCGGTCAAATGTGGAACTGATTTTTAAATATTGTCCAATGACTTTTAAATTTCAAGTATTATGTCAAAAACTTTTGACATCTTATATTTCATCTATACAAAAACATGTGACAAAGAAGAGAAATTTCCCAAAATGCATCATTTTTTGAAAGACAAGTTTCATGCCAACCAATTTCCAACTTACCTTATTAACATAATCACAGAGCTTGCTAATTCGGTGAATAAACAAAAGGTGCAACAGATCGAGCAAGAAATATCCTCCATGCGCAAGATATCACGAAGGTATATCGATCCATGCGTTCCGCAGGGCATATGTGTATATATATATATCTGTCCATGCGAAACCGCAAGGGAATATATTCTGGAATTGTTGGTTATGATGAGGTCATCATGCTGTATTACAAGATATCTTCATGCAACATTAAAATGAGCGAAGAATGTTGTGAGGCGAGATGAAAATCCGAGTATAAGCATATGGAGTTAAATTGTAATTGTCGTCCCTGAAATTTCTTTCAGTGTTATTTTGAGTTATTGAAGAGATACAAAAGTTATTTTAGTTAAAAGAGAATTTATTTCCAGCAATTACATAAAAAATATTTAAAACTAATATATGATGTCATGACATTGCAATCAGAAAAATAACATAATGACAATAGACCACTTTCATATAAAGATTTTTGACTCCAGAGCTTATAATTTTTCTACAGGATATGTACACTGTGGTACTCAGTTAAGTAAGAGTAACCGAAAGAAGTAAAATCAAGCTTGCAATTAGTACAATTTGTGGAAAAAATTAACTGTTTTATGTTTTCTAGACCACAACAAAATCATCAGAAAACAGTTACCGGCAATATTTTCCCCCAAAATTGTACTGATTGTAAGCTTGATGTTACTTTTTTTAGTTGCTCTTACTTGACCAAGTACCAGTATGTCTCTCACAGAGTAGGTAACCTGTGGAAAAATTATATACTTGGAGTCAAAAGTCGGTAATATGACAATAGTCTATCAATAAGGTAATTTTGAAGGCATTAAAACACAAACATAACATTTAATGTGGGAAAAAAATAAAACTAGGTTGAACCACGAGACAGTCCAGTTAGAAATTCAATGTAAAATGATAGAATAGTCTGAATAAAGTTTTCCATGCAAGATTGTTCAAGGGAAATAACTCTTTCTTTCTTGATATTTTTGTCTCACAAGCTATTCATTGCAATTTACTGTTTAATTTTGAACCTTATTTCATGCAAATGATTCAATTTCTACTTTGATAAAATAAGGAAAACTTATTTTCTCAAAAATGACATGATTTATATGAAATGGGCAAATGATGGCAATGCATGGAAATGAAAATGAAATGGACACCATGGCAACATTCAAATGTATCCAATAACCCGTCATGGCAACATAGGACATATACATAATCCATAAACCAGCTGGAAAATCTGCAATTCATATTTGTAAGTTTAAATACTTGTTATACTAGCATACACTTAAATATGATATGATATATTTACAATAAAACTTCAGAAGCCTGAATTCAAAAGCACAATTTCCATAGCTTAAACAATCATACTATCCTTTCTTTATCCTCTAGTTTTTAAGTTAGCAGTTAATGTAAGAATTCCATTTTTTTTTCATTCTGTTTGGCTTTTAATTTTACAACAAATTTTCAACTTATTTACTAATTTCAATTGAAACCTTCAGCAAATTGGACCACAGGGTATATTTCGTTACAATATTTTGTTTCAAGAAAAATACAATGACAGACTAAAAAACATTCTCATCATTTTGAACAAAAAACATCTAACTTCTTTTGCATATAGGTTAATTCAAGACTTTGGATGCACGAAATTTATCAAAAATTTAGTAAATTTTTCTACAATATAAATATTTCTAAGGCAAACAATTTCCTTATCAAAATTCAAGCTTATGAAGTTTTACTGTATTTCTTATTGTTATAAATAAGCCATTATTTGGACAATACTGTAGACATTTTGTAATAATGGAAAAAATGTTATGGCTTAAGCATGATTCTTGTGGAAGCCTGGAGTCCATCAATTAGAGCAGCCTTTCCCTTGGAAAAAGCTTTGGAAATTCCAAATCTTGCCTCAACAGAAGTTATTGGGGAAAGCTTAATGCAATTTAATAGCAAGCTATTTTATCATTTTATAACTTAATCATTTTTTTTTTAATTGTTTTAAACCACAAATCTCTATGTACAAACACATTATCATGGTGATCTGTTTTATTCAATGTAAAAAACCAAGAGTACCCGTGACCTTTGACAACTAAAGACAGCTCTTTTGCATATTGGTAGATTGACCTTAAAAAGAATCAGATCAATTCAAGAAAGAGTTCTTTAAGATCCCTGCCTTTCCCCAAGGTCATTTGGGTCAGACTGGATTTAAGTAACAATGAACAATGCAAGAGGTTGAACAATCAGTATTGATCTTGGTAAAATTTGAACAAAACTGACCACATGCAAGAAAATTGGATCACATGTAAATGGTTTCCTGTGTAATACATTAGATCCATACAATATACAATATACATCCATACGATTTACATTTAAATGTGTACAAGTTGGGATAAAATGTAGGGATCTGTAATAGATGTCAATTCTGCAACAAATGCAAAATGAGACATTTATTCTTTTTAGTGGTCCTTAGTCACTAAAAAGCAAAATCAATTTTAACCAACTACCATGGAAAACATCTACAGATACAGGATTCAGGGGTTTCATTATCATTCATGTTAACTTGTACTTTTCTCATTTGTGTTTTTTTTTTGGTACTTTTCAATATATTATACCATGAATACCTTATATAAACAATCCTAAATTCAAGAGTACTTATCAGTAGCGCAGGGGGAAAAAGTACCAGGTACCACCTCCTAATGATTGACATTTAAATCCAGTATAAGATATTTTTTAGGTTCTTAAACAAAAATTAAATGACAAATTGAATAAACCAAAGCAAATGTCTAAACAGGCGTTCAAGAGGAATGGAATGAGGAGTATTCTATAAAAACAATCAGTTACGAGAGGTAATAGTTCTAGTTAATAAAAAGTATACAATATACAATTCAGAGAGGAAATTCTTACCTGTGATTTCAACATCCACTTTGCTCGGAGAACCTTGAGTGTCGACATTGAAATAAGCTGTCTTGTTTAACGGAACCAAACTGAGGCCATCACCACTAACTGTGGCCCGTCCTCCACCAAATATTTCTACCATGTATGGTGATCCTAAAATATATTGTTATTCATAACATTAATATCAAATGACTCTTTTGTCTTTGATTTGTATAAAAACAAGATGTGGAATAATTGCCAATGAGACAACTATCCACCAAATGACGTAGAAGTAAGCAACTATAGGTCACTGTGAGGCCTTGAACAATGAGCAAAATCCACACAGCATAGCAAGCTATATAAGGCCCCAATATGACAAATTAAAACAATTCAAACAAGAAAACTAACTTGTAGTCTCTCAGCACAATTTTTCACCCAGAACAATTTCTTTTCTATCTTTGACAGAAAAGATCCAAGTTAATGATGAGTTTTTGCAGGTCCTCAAAACTAACATGGCTGATAAAAGTGTTGAGAGCATTCATTGATTTAGTTTATTTTTTCAAACATATTTGTTTTTTATGCATATTTTGCTTATATTGTATATCATTATATGTATATTACAAATGTATTGTCCTTCAACCTGCCCTCCACCTAAAAGGTCATTGTGATAATCAACACAAAATCATTTTTGTCTAAACATAATTTTCTATAATATTCTATAATAAAATATTTCCACCTTTAACCTTTAAAGTAATTAAGCTGATGTTAACTTTGTGAATTAAATCTTTTTACCTTTAACCTCATTGTCGTTATAGCTGACATTAACTTTGTGAATTAAAATAATTTTACCTTTAACCTCAGTGCCGTTAAAGTTGACGTGAACTTTGTAAATTCCGGCTCCTTGTGGTGTAAAGTTTATCCTGTTAACTCCTCTGCTGTCTTCTGATACATTTGCAGGAACTCTTGAACCTTCATACAATATAGTCACGTCAAGGTCACCATCACCTGCACTTGAGTGATCGGCTGAAAAGGTTAGTTACCAATGGTAATGAAACTTAGGCAACTGGTTTTCTCACAAGACATCTAACATACAGCAAATTTCATCAACAACAGAAAAATTTTTACAACTATAGACTGATCTTAAAACAAGCCTTTAAGTCATACTTGATATATGTTACAACACATATATCATCAGTCAGTGTATTGTAGACATCAAAGTATACATGTAATATAAACTGCTAACAGCAGTGAAAAGTGACACATGAAAAATAGTGTACTAAAACAGAACTGTATATATAAGCTCTTTCCTATAAAAGGATCTTTTTACAGCATATTTATTTGAGTGAGTACAAAAAAAAAATAAAATAATTATTACATTTATTTATATTATCTACATATTGCAAGAGCAACAATTTTCTTCTATTATCCAATCAAATCATCTAACAGTAACAAAACCATGAATGAAAAAAATGACTAATTTGTTACTTTTAAATAAACTGTTATCACAGAGATATGTCTCGCCTTTTTGTTATTTTGATAATGCAAATGTTGAAATTAAAATAGCAATACTTTAACATGTAAGTTATGCAAATATTCAAAGTCGATGAACCATGACTGAAGGTACATGGCTAAACAATCTCCATGGAATGAGATGTGCCAATGCTAATACAACTGCATACCAAATACCATTGACTTATTATAAGTTGTTCCCTTTAAACAAACCTAAACACAAACATTAACTTGTAAACTATGTAAAAGTTTCAAAGTCAATGAACCATGATCAGGGGTGGGGCTATATAATCTCCATGGAAACGATACTTGCAAATGCCAATAAATTTGCATACCAAATATCATTGACTTAACATTAGCAGTTCATCTTAAACTGATCTAATCACAAACTAATACATGTAAACTAAGCAAAAGTTTCAAAGTAAATAGACCATGACCGAGGGGTGGGGCCAAATATTCTCCATGGAAATGAGATGTGCTAATGCTTATACAACTGAACACCAATTAACATTGGCCTACCACTAATGGTTCCCCTTGAACTGACCTAATCACAAACTAATACGTGTTAACTTAGCAAAATTTTCAAAGTCTATAGACCATGACTAAGGGGGCGGAGCCAAATTATCTCCATGGAAATGAGATATGCCAATGCTTATACAACTGCATACCAAATATCATTGACCTACCACTAGTGGTTCCCCATGAACTAGACCTAATCACAAACTAATACATTGTTGACGCCGCCGCCACCGCCGTCGAAACAGCATACCTATGTCTCGCTTTTTGACTTCTTCCAGGCGAGACAAAAAATGAAAACAACATGTTATAAATTTCAATTGTCTGAAGCGCTTTTCTGGATTAGCCCTCATCAGGAACGCTCAAAGCCGAATATTTGAAAGCCAAGGATGTAAAAGAACCAAAACAGTTGAAGAGCTATAAGACCAAAAAGATCCTAAAAAAAAGCCAAATCCATCTAGGGTCACCTTTGCCTGAGGGAGTTGAAACCTAAAATAACATACAATACTGTGGATTCCTTCATTTCCTTGGATACCAGTTTTCATGGATTGGGGAAAACTTGTACTTAGGAAGATATTTGAATTCATGATTTTGCCAAAGTCTGAATACGAGCCTATTTGAACGTTTATATCTGTGGTTCACCAATACTTACAAATTCCACGAAAATTGGCATAACATGAATGATATGTATCCACAGGAGCTTATAAAGAACTTATGCTTTATTTAACAAACAAGCAAACTCAACTTTTTTGCCCTTAGTACTTTGGATTCATTGTTATTCATTTGAAATCAATTTTTGTTGAATTTGTGGTTATAGGTTATCAACAGTTTACACTCAAATACTGTAAATTCTGAAATTATTGTGTGCATTTATTATTGCGATTTTTGAAGAATGGACATCAATGCGAGATCATTTTTTTGCGATTTCAAGAAAAGCTGCATACAGATATATGCATCAGATATCAGAATGGGAGTACTTATTATTGCGATACTCACCCAGTCCCATTATTCGCATTAATAAAAACCTCGCAATAATTTCTAAATTTACAGTAGTTAAGCTGTAAGTGTAGTTTACAGAAAGGAAAAGTACATTATAAGAATGTGGGTGCAATGAGCAGTCTGGGAATACTAACATTAGTAAGAACTTACCATGGAAAGTTAGATCAGATCCTACAATTCCACCCTCTAATCCATAAACTCTAACTGAGGCTGGATCATAAACAACTACCGAATAAGGACTCCCACTTATGTGTTCACCATCATACAGAACTGACAAGTTCCAAACCCCTGAAAAATATACAAACAGAATAATATTAATTGGTTATAATCTCCTTTTTTCCAAATAATTCATTCAGTACGATATAACATGACAGATACCCAATTTTTTACATTGGGATTATGTTGCTTAATATATATTTAACTAAGGTTTCCTTGCCATTAGTTCATAATGTCAATGGACTGTTCTAAGAATTTTATAAAATATGTGGCCTTCTAAATAATCAGTATGCTGTAGTAAATAATTATTTGATACTATACAATTTAGCCTACATCTGTAAGTTAAGATTTAGTTTTATTTTATTTTTCCTCTGTGCACCTGATCTTTTTCCTTATTTAGACAATGATCCTTCCATTTTTTTGGTAAAATAGAAATAAGAGAACACCGGAAGAACACCATATATTTTACTGCTGTACATTTTCATAATAATAAACTTAAGTTTTTATTTATATACAGATTGTACAGCAATTTTGAACATTTATTTCATAAAAATCTTATTCCATATTCATAACACTCAAGTTAATGATGTATATTATCATTTTCTATTTCTTCATTTTTTTAAATCATTTACCTAAAATAAACCACTCTCATCAAAGTAACAAAAATAGGGAGTTATCCAAAGAGTGAATGCAGTGGAAACATATCCCTTAAACAATGGGAGATAACTCACATTTGTGAAATGAAGACTAGTTATAATTGTTAAATAGATAAAATCAGTTCAATTAAGCAGAAGTTTTATGTCCATTTTTCATTTTAGCATAATGTATATCTTGTATAGTATTTATAAATGCACTGATATTTTTTCAACCAATTTTGTTAAATATCTCATTTCAGATTATGTTTGGCATTATTTGCAATTTCCTCAAAAAGCAACAATTAATGTCACATGATCAAACATTGGTGTAATGATTGTCATGATTTTACAGTTCATCCAGCCATACTTACCTGCTTCAGATGGTGAGAAGTTTACAATATATTGTCCCTGTCTATAAACTGCAGTGAGATTCTGAATCCTTCCTCCAGGAGACTGTGCCTCCACTCTCACATCACCCTGTCCTGCTCTTGAAGAATCCACCTATTTAATGTTATAATGATAGAAATCAGACATTATTCTTACAGAAAATTTTGCAAACGTATAAAGCAAATCAAACAATCCCTGCCCAAAAAAACTGATCCCTCCCATTCCACAAAAACAGACATTACAAGTATTACTATCAAGCCGTCAAACCATTGAAGCCACAACATGTATGGAATCAAATGTGACTACGGTACATCAGCTTCAAAATTATTAGAACATTATTAAAACGCCAATAGATTGGAACAAGAAGAAACTCATCATAAATTACTTTTGTTTCAAGTCAATTCGATTCTGGACAAAATCCAGAATTTATGCCTCATCTTTTTTGTTTGAATTTATTCTGACCCTTGAAACAATGTTGAGCAAAGCAAAAATTTAACTTTTCAATAACCTGCTTACATCCCTCAATAAATGTCTTATTAACTAATCCCAGGCATGTTTTGGTATGTAGAGAATTGATTTATGTATTTATGGGGTCTTAAAACATTTCTACATTTGTCTGTTGCCAAAAAGATTTCTTGTCAAACCTTAGTGGAGGAAAAAAGCTAGTCATACTGAATGACTGGTTCATAACATCTAAAAAATATGTTTTATTGAAGATATTTTTCAAGTAAACAATGACTCAAAACATATTCAAACAATTGGTCAATAACTTTTTTGAAGGAGTACAAAACCTAGTGTCCTAATTTTAATAAAATTCTGAAATTTCATTACGTTTATCTTTAACTAAAAACAGAAAATTTAGAAACCCAAATAGCTGGTACTGCCTTAAATATGTATTTCACATTTTATATATTCTGCCTTCAGCCTTCTTTGCTGCTCCATAAATAATTGACTAGTTCTACTTCTATAGAATGTTACAAGCTACTTACCTTGAGTTCTGTAATCATTCCAACAGGACAGGAATCAACAGATGTAAATGTGATCCTTGACCTATCAGCCATGGATTTAAAGGTCACCGGACATCCAAGGATTAATTGATTGTTGCAAAAGACACTCAGCTGAAAAAAACGGCAGAAGTTTAAATGTCTTTAAGAATGAATGCAAACGAAGAATAACAAATGTAAATGAATGCTTTTGATTTGATTTTTTTCCTTTTAAGGTCAATGAAGAATTTAGAGTTTGACTTTTATTTGAGAGCCTGTCAAGAGATAAACTTTTAGCTATGTGATATATACAAGATTATCGTTTGATTGGATCTATTCAACAAATTTTCAGTAGACATTAGGATAGGGGAGAGCTGAGCACTCAAAAATATGTTAAACCCTGCTACAATTTGTATGTGCATGTTCCAAGTCAAGAGCCTGCAGTAATTCAGTGGTTGTTGTCATTTCATTCTGTCATATTTGTTTTCCGCTAATTATTTTGTCATAAATTGGGCCATTGGTTTTCTCCGTTGATTGTTTCACATTTTGTCATGTTATGGCCTTATATAGCTGACAATATTTTATGGGTTTGCTCATTGTTGAAGGCTGTAGGATGCACTATAATTACTTACATCCATATGGTTTGGACTATGGTGGATAGTCACAATGTCTCATTGGCAATCATACCACATTTCCTTTGTTTATATGTATCAAGATAAACATTTTTCTTTTATTTTTGTTGGTATTTGTTACTATATATGACTATTACCCTATGAACTCCCGTTTCTTCAGGTGTGAAAAGGCCATCTCCAATACTACCAGTCCAGCTTAGTCTGACATTTGGAGAGGAGTCTGGACCTTTTATCTCAGCTCGTACATCTGATGGTGAAACATTGTCATCTTCAATCCTCACTGAAAAGTTGGACTGAAACACAAATACAAGTAAAAAAAAAAATATACACAACAGAATTTTTCAAATTAAATGTTCTACATTTAGACTACTCATTTATTTTATTTTCTACCATCTAACAACAAAAATGTGCAATATTCTACTCTTAGAAAAAAGTATAAAATTTACCATCACAACTATGATTAACTTTAATTTAATATTATCCACATAAAAAAGTAAACCAGCTCCATAATTTGGGATTGAAATATTTATAACAAAGAAAAATATTAAAATTGAAATGTTTCTTGTTCACAAATCCATTTTTTATTCATAAATTTAATTTGCTATGGAAATAATGCATAAAATTTCTTTTCTTGAATATTGTATTTGTTTTCTTATATAATAAATTTCCCAAAAAACATGTATAAAATTGAATAAATTTGTTTTATCTTAAAGAGTTTTCCCAACAAATGAAAAGAACTGCATTTTCAACCTTTGAATATAGCATAATACAGATGTAACTATTAAATATAAAAAGTCTCATGCACTTTTTAAAAAAAATGTTGTGTCAATCTAAATACATGGATAATTCTTTATCTGAATTTTAATGTTAGAAAGGAGGTATAAAATATAATTATCTTTAAAAAATGGCTATACTGTTGTAAAAGTATGCAACTCAAAATATAGTTACTGTGTGTCCCATGATGTCTGGAAATTTGTTTATAACTAAATTTCTGTACATTGTACTAAAATCATCAGGACCGAAAACATGTACTGTACCTTTTTAGTCAAGTCAAAATGGATTACTCTTTGAAACTACAAAATTTTTCATACGGTCATTTTCAAACACTATTTTTTATGCATTTTGTTGTTAAATGATTTCATTACAAGTTATATTCATGTCACTATATAGAACTTAATTATTTCCTAGTAGAAATAAACCACTTTCCCAGGTAAATAGGACACACAGCAATCATTTCTAGAGGTAAACACACAAGTTTATGCACTGGTCATAAGAAATTGATTGTTAATTATAAAAGCTCAGAAATTATACAATCTACTAATTGTTAGCTTATTTAATATAAAATTCAAAAGGCACACATATATTGTAGGTCCTACAGGAAGTATATATATCATATCTACAAAAATAAGGCACCACAAAAATGTGCCTTTTCTGTTTATTAACATTTATAATCTGGAAACATATTTATAAGAAGTATAGATAGGTTCCAATTGATACAATTTGAGCAAGACTTACTTCCCTTTTGTTGCAATGTTGGAGGTCAACTTGCACAAATTTCTTCATAAATCAGCTAAATTTAACTTGTAATACTGGCTGCTAGATGAAGTTGTTTTCTGAACAATTTTAATTTCGATTAGCCTTGTTTGATTTATCACTTAGATCTTGGCCCTCGGTCGTAAAACTTTACTCAGTACTCGGAGTACAAATTATGTGCTCGAAACATCAAATCCCAGTATTTTGATTGGTTGATTTCTGAGTCTGATTCAATAATCGTGCTCGAAAGTTTTATGACCGCAAGGCCTGGTAAGGATCTTTTATCAGACTTGTCTTAATGTACCAGATGCTTCAATTTGGTTAGTCAAATAAGAAAATCAACCATTTACCCCTCCAAAATGGTGGCCAAGGGAAATAAATAAAACTCATATTATGTCATATCAAAACCTAGCTATACACAGTATGCGTATAATCTGTCCATTTTACTTCATGTAATGGAAGAGCAACCCCTTTGTTTTGCAATTATTTTACAAAGCAAGCAATTGTTTTAATTACTAATTCTTATGCATCTACATATGCATCTACTAAAGTAGCATCTGATAGTTTTATAACACACTAAAACAACCGGTATACTCACAGTCTGCTTACAGCATGTACCAATATCAAAAATCATCATTTATTCAATTGTCTTATAATTTATGAGGTGGTAAGATTTGGTGAAACGTGTGCTGCAACTTTATGGAAATTTTCTTTTAAGGGCATACGATACAGTTTTGATCCCACAGTGATTTTTTTACGAAAATTTGCATACAAACTATTTTACATCAAGTCAATTGAAATGTGTAATAAAAATACACCTTCATGTGCTACATTTAGAGATGGGGTTGATATTTTAGGCATTTACTCAAAATTTTGGTTTCTCAGATATTTCTATCCATTGGATAGACATACTTAACTTTTTTCTTTCAAAAGATAAACACAAAAGGATTTTTGAAAAAATGTTTGGAATATTATTTACATAAATTGCTCTAAATTTGTGCAAAAAATTCTTGAAAAATAATTTATTTTTTTTAATGTTTCATAACTTTTTATAATAACAGCATTTTTTTGTTGTATATTTATCTTATTTTTCAAAATTCCATCTGAGATTTGATAAAAAAATTTGATACAAATAATCTTCATACATAATCAAGCCAAATGTCATTTTAAAACTAGAGGCTCTCAAGAGCCTGTGTCGCTCACCTGTAGTAACTGATGCTTTGGAAATCATGTAAAATAAGGTTAAAGTCATAATTAATAGTATTAGATATTAGATATTATAATGATATCTAAGATAATAACAATAACAAAAAACTGCAAAATTTCTGTAAAATTACAAACTCAGGGGCAGCAACCCAACAACGGGTTGTCGGATACGTCTGAAAATTTCAGGGCAGATAAATCTAAATCTGATGAACATTTTTGCCACCTGTCAGATTTGCTCTAAATGCTTTAGTTTCAGAGATATAAACCAAAAACTGCATTTTACCCCTATGCTCTATTTTTAACCAAGTTGGCCATGATGGTTGGAAGGCGGGGTCATCGGACAAATTTTTTTAAACTAGATACCCTAATAATGATTATGGCCAAGTATGGTTTAATTTGTCTCGGTAGTTTCAGAGAAGATTTTTGTAAAAGATTACAAAAATTTACGAAAAATTGTTAAAAATTGACTATTAAGGGCAATAACTCCTAAAGGGGTCGACTGACAATTTTCGTCATGACAACTTATTTGTAGATCTTACTTTGCTGAACATTATTGCTGTTTACAGTTTATCTCTATCTATAATAATATTCAAGATAACCAAAAACTGCAAAATTTCCTCAAAATTACCAATTCAGGGGTAGCAACCCAACAACAGGTTATCAGATTTGTCTGAAAATTTCAGGGCAGATAGATCTTGACCTGATAATTAGTTTTACTCAATGTCAGATTTACTCTAAATGCTTTGGTTTCAGAGATATAAGCCAAAATCTACATTTTACCCCTATGTTCTATGTTTAGCCATGGCAGCCATCTTGGTTAGTTGGCAAGGTCATCGGACAAATTTTTACACTAGATACCCTAATGATGATTGTGGCCAAGTTTGGTTAAATTTGGCCCATTGGTTTCAGAGGAGAAGATTTTAGTAAAAAGCTAACGTCGACGGACAACGACATCAGACGCCGGACGCAAAGTGATGAGAAAAGCTCACTTGGCCAAGGGCCAAGTGAGCTAAAAAGGAGTCAACACGACTCGTTTTCAAGCTCATAATAAAAATGAGTAGAAAACTGCATGTTTTCCCAATATGTCACCGTTTGACTTCGCATAAAAAAATAATTCATTTTGCGTTAGCGACAGCATTATCTCCCCTGCAACTGTATAGTATGCCCTTAAGCAGAAAGCAATTCTATTGAGTAAAAACTAAGAACAAAATGACCCACTTAAATAAAATATGTATTAAATTTCAAAAAAGATGTTAAAATGGTGAAATAATCATTACCTGTGCTTAATTACAAGACTATAATTAACTAAAGTGCAATTACATATTGGTTTGCCAGGACATAGATATATCAATTCATTAGATTTTCATGGATTAAACTCAGTTGTACAAATGAAAATGTTTAAATGAACTTTATTAGGAGTAAAGTCCATAATTATGACAGTGTCTTCCACCTAGCCCTGATTTATTGGACATATCTGCAACTGTATCAAACAACAAAAAAGAGTGTGTAACTTAATGTCATGATCATTACATCTCAATTAAAAAATTCTGTAAACTATGATGGACATTTTCATGAGGTTACATATTCATGAATTCATTACATCAACATTCACATGAGTATATTCTCCTGACAGTAACTGATTATCTTGCTATACCTTTGCTTTAGAGATAATATTTATGGAATTCTGGAAAACACAGAATAAGTGAAAATTATGACCACCAACCCATTTTGTGTAAATTTTGATATTTACATTTAGGTTCATTCCGACATTTTACATCGAACAACTGAGATTGTCTGTGACTTACATTAGTCTTATAGTAGGCATTTCTGAAGAATTATTATAATTTAATGGATACCAGTTTTAAAATATTATATATAGTGATTAATTTGCATAAAGGTTACTGCTGTATTTGTCTATTTTGACTCAACCATACACACCTCTAGACCAACATAAACATTTTTTGGTGGTGAGGATAGGACTACTCTTTCCGCTGGTGTTTTTGTTGGTTTGAAATCCTTGAAGTAAGCAGCATATGCCATGATCCCAATATGATCCACTTCTGGGTCACACATTTCTTTAGCAGTTAATATTGGATTAACTCCAAGTCTTTGAGCTGCTTCCAAGCCTGTTTAAAAAAAATGAAATTATAAAACATTAAGCCATGTAAAATTATCTTTTATTCTTATGGCTTTCACACACACTGAATTTTTCTTTAACTTTTACATTTTTAAAACTTAAATGCTAATTGCTTTGCGGCAGATACTAATTTTCAAGTTTTATCGAGACATGGATTGAACCCACAACCTTCTGCACTCTAGGCGAGCTTGCTACAATAGGCTATTTCTGGAATCATGTCTATCACCAGAAGAAATTATCGTCAATTACACACTCCCTTATGCCCTCATTTACAAGATAGAAGGCGCGCCTGTATCCCTGCACCTATTTAAGTTTCTAGCATCTTCATGATTGTCATTCTGCATTATAGTCTAGAAATAATTTATGTACAGTAGGTACGTAATCTTAATGTCCTGGACGACAGAAGGGAGGATGACCGACTAATTAAGATTTTTATTTCCGAATATTTCCTACAGTGTAACATCAAACTTATTCACCCATTCACTCAATTTGTGTTGTAAGTGACAATGCCTACATTTTGGTCATGTGGGGATGAAAGTCACGTGACAGATATTAAATAACAACCGTATCTTGGAACTGGCGTATGAGACCATAAAGAAGAGGTGAAGAGCTGATGCTTCCGCAAGACCTCCAAGGTGTTTTTTTCTATGGAAGAATTACCAGGTTTTTTATATTGTGAAAAAGCATTTCTTCCAGCTGAAGAAGTTTACTATTTTCAGGCAACATGTAGTACACAAGGCAAGAGTCAGACAATTCGGTTGTCATTACAAAAAAGGTAAATATATAAAGAATTTTTGTAATATGAAAGGTTTAATACATGAATTATTTACCTTTTTGGATATTTTCAGAATTAGATCCAGTCAGATTTGGAACATTTTCTCCCAATGATTTAACCAGGTTGGCTAACAAATGTCCGTCCTGCCAGTCAGACTAAAAACATAAAGCATCCATTCTTAAAACAGTATTCACCTAACAATCAGACACTCTTTGATATAAGACATAGTTAAAGAACTGATTTAAAATTACATGTATTTTATATTTTCTCTGCATAATGAACAGGTGAATAGTATAAAATTACAATTATTCATCCTACACATTTGCTCAAAGAAATTTTTTTACATACCGGTAGAATACCTTAAGACATTTTATTACAAAATATTTATCTCAATTTCTCCCTTTATTTATATATTTTCTAAATATTACTCAGCATTGCAAAGTATTGATATCTCTTATAAACACAGGCAGATATATACAGAAAAAGATGATAATGTATACACATAACAACAAGTGAAACTGCGAGCTACTGCTCACTGATGATACCCTCGCCCAAATATTTCGGTAAACAGGAGGTTGTTGAGTGATGAATCTGAAAACACATCACACAGTATAGCTGACTTATATTAACCATGAAACCAAATTTCAGAAATCTTTATAATGTAGTTCCTGAGAAAGATGCGACGAAAATATTCATGGGATGGACAGACCGACTGACGGATGGATGGACTGATGGATGGATGGACAGACGGACGGACAGACGGACAGACGGATGGACAGACAGACAGACAGAGGAAAAACAGTATACCCCCACTTTTTTAAAGCAGGGGTATAATAAAATGGCAATGTGTATGTTTCTTTAGTGATCTATAGATCGTGAACACAAGTCAAACAGCATACAACCTTTCTATTTCTAGTTTGGATGTTAATACCCAAGTGAAGACCAATGCCATTAAGTTATCCAGTAATATATGGAGCTTATTGAACAGTTACCTTCCCTGGCAGTTGAGTATATACTGGTTATTGAATATATTTATTGATATACTGTATTAAAGGCCTTTGAAATGTTTTTCATATCATTGGGCGTCGACAGTAGTACTATTTACATTTAGCAAAAGTCAATTTGCTAAATGTAAATAGTACTTTTGCTATATAATACATGTATTGCTTAAATCTTTTATTTTAAAACATAAATCAAATGAGGATATTTTTCCAAAATTCATACTTCAAATAGTTTATATTCTTTCACTCAAATTGCTTTAGAGGATTTGTTCAGCATGTGTTGTTTTTTTGGCATAGGCCTAATTTTACCCAAATAGCACTTGATATACATGTATATATGAAATAAGGAGCACTCATTATCATAACCATAAACAAAATATCATCGTTCACAATATATTGTAAATAAATAAAATTGATTTGATTTGATTTGATTTTTGGTGTTTTAATGCCACTTTTAAGCACCGCTTTTGGGCTATTTCGTGGCGGTCAGTTTTTATTGGTGAAGGAAGCCAAAGTACCCGGAGAAAACCACAGACCTTCGATAGGAAAACTGACAATCCTAGTCAATTAAGATTGGAGTCGAGTGCACCCGCACGAGCGGGGTTCGAACTCACAACCTCAGTGTTGACTGGCTAAGATTACAGTAGTAACTACTTAGACCACTCGGTCACTGAGGCCCCCATAAATAAAATTGAGAATGAAAACTGGGAATGCCTCAAAGAGACAACCTGACCAAAGTGCAGAAAACAGCCCAAGGCCACCAATGAGTTTCAACACAGCGAGAAAATCCTGCACCCTGATGCAGGCTTCAGCTGGCCCCTAAACAATAATGTATACTAGTTCAGCGAAAATGGACCAGCACACATGAATTGAATCAAGTAAAAAGATAAAACTGTTTTCGGCTAAATAAGTATATTCGCTCTTTTATAAAATGACTCACAGCAAAATTATTGCATGTTCCATACTTCAGAAGGCTCTGTATTATTTTTAGTGTTGCAAAATATCCTGGAGAGTCAATTTTCATGAAATATGATAAATATGTCATCCCTGATAACTCGTCTAAATCTGGAGATGCAAGATCCTCTGGTCTGACTACTAGTGGGATGTCAAAATTATCCTTTGCTAGCTGCATTGCTATTCGACAGTTGTCAAGTCTGGAATAGAAATGTGGAGCAATGAAAACTTGTAATCAAATGTCAGCAACATACTGATTTGATTAAAATCAAACTGCATAAAAAGATAAGCGATACCAATTTTAAGGCACCAGATGCACATTTTGACAAATAATGTTTCTTCAGTGATGCTTGAGGCAAAAATATTTGAATATCCAAAATTTAATACAAATTTTGAAGAGTGGATCAGAGCTTTGCATGAGGGAGATATATTTCTTAATTCAAAATGATTTTAAAAATTTTAAAACAGCAAATTTTAATCAAACAAGTTCCGTATTTTCATGCAAGTACAGAAGTACTGGCTACTGGGCTGGTGATACCCTCAGGGACTAACAGTCCACCAGCAAAGGTATCTACCCAGTGGTAGTTATAACATAAACAGTACCAATTTAATTGCATCTGATGCACATTTCAACAATTAATGTTTCTGCAGCGATGCTTCATAAGATTCCAAGCTGGACTCTAACCAGATAAGCTTAGACTATTTTTGCTGAAATACAAGAGTTATCAGATAGTCTTTTTTCTAATCTCACTGGGTCTGGGCTCACTTTACACCCACTCTTCACATGATAACATCAGAAAGTTAAGCATGAATTGGATTAACAATAGCATTTGATAACTAAAATATAATATTAGAAAGAAAATGATAAAGTTATTAGGTCAAGGATTGCCAAATAAAAGTAATTTAGATATTATTTGCACCTGTCCTAAGTCAGGAATCTGATTACAGTAGTTGTCGTCTGTTTATGTAGTTCATATGTGTTTCTCGTTTTCATATAGATTAGACTGTTGGTTTTTCCGTTTGAATGGTTTTACACTAGTAATTTTTTGGGGCCCTTTATAGCTTGTTGTTCTGTGTGAGCCAATGCTCCGTGTTGAAGGCCGTACCTTGACCTATAATGATTTACTTTTATAAATTGTAACTTGGATGGAGAGTTGTCTCATTGGCACTCATACCACATCTTCCTATATCTATTATAACAACCAAAACCATAGATGTAACATCATGTTTAACAGTTTAAACCAATTTGTTTCAACTGATCAATACAATCTGAATTTTATCTAGAGTAATTCAAACAATTATTGATTGATTGATATTTGCTTAACATCCAGCGGCAAATAGTTCATGCAAGTTCAGGAAGAGAACAAATCAACAAAAATTACAAGTATACAGAAATTCAGACTTGCAACAGGCCACCTACAGACCCCTCAAAGAGTTGTTGTAAAGGTATTTAATATGCAGAGGGCATGACACTCTCTACCAGAGACATCAGATTTTAAGTCCCCCTTCTTACTGGATATGACTGCAAATTTTTACAACTTACACATCCAAATGGACATCCCACTTTGGCAAGCATTTTATTGCTGGTCATAAGAAATGACCAAGACATGAAGTATTTTTAAACCCAAGCCAACCTTGTGGTAAAAATTATTGAAATCAATGTTGCTCAATGACACAGCTAATTGCTTCAGGTGACTTTATCTAAGATTAATCTGAGCTTCACTTAATATTTTTAAAACAGTTCTTGATAAAAGTTACATTTGTTTAATCACAGTGAAGACAAAAATAATCACAACTAGATTTGTAATTGCTAGCAATAACGGATGGCACCCTCGTCTCCCCATTGCCAGGGTAACGGCAGCCACTTTGAAAATTTCACAGTCAAAGAGGGCATCTACACATACCAATCAACATTATTGTAAAGTTTCATTGAGTTTGGAGCATTTTGATATTTTTTACATTTTTGCTGTTTCCATGGTAACGGTAGCCATCTTGAAAATGCCATACCCCGATTGCAAATCTGCACATGCTGGTTAACATTATGGTACAGTTCCATAACAATTGGTTCATAGAATTCCAAGATATAAGCTGGACAAAAAAAGTGGAAGAAAAATAAGAAAAAAAGAAACGTAGAATAACAATATGTCACCCCAACTCCGTTGAGGGTGCCATAATGAAAGTACTTTAACAAGATCTTTCTTAGGTGATATGTTATGAACATTTCCATTTACTTTTCCATTCAATATTCATTTTTTTGTAAATTACTAAAAAAAACTTACCCACTGCTTCTGCTCATGTGCCTCCAATCAGGAGCCAATCCTGGCCTACAGAAATCTACCAATGCACTAAAAAAAATGGATATGCATAAGTTTATCAGGATCACAATCATATGAACATAGTAGTTAATTATAGAATCTTGGTCAAATATTGAGAATAAAATTGAGAATGGAAATGGGGAATATGTCAAAGAGACAACAACCCGACCAAAGAGCAGACAACAGCCGAAGGCCACCAAAGGGTCTTCAATGCAGCGTGAAAATCCCGCACACAGAGGTGGTCCTCAGCTGTCCCCTAACTAAAATTTGTTTGTATTTGTTATAATATTAATAGAATCCTAAAACCTTTGTTTGGCAATGAATGATATAATTTGTAGTAAAACTTTATCAGTTTTATATCCAATTTATTGATTAATTCCACATACATTTGTAGTTACTTCCAGATTCAAATTGAGACCAAATATTATTGTGTTAGTTAGAGATACTTTAAGGTTTCATTTCTTCATTTTCAGGTCCTAAATGTCTCTTTTTATAGAAATAAACTTTTAGATTAGGGCTAATGCATATATTCTGAAAACACAAAAATGAAAAATGGTATTGAGTTATTGGTCAATTGCAAACAATTTATGGAGTTTTTAAAAACAGTGAAAATCAAAGAAGACAACAACCTATAAGCTTATAAACTTAGTGTTTCATCAAAACAATTTTACAAACAAAGAAGTACAATATCTAAACTGTTTAAAAGATTTCCAGCATACACAATATATTTTGCTTGCATTTTTACGGTGCAAATGTCTGTCTGTTTTTAATTGTAATCATTATGGTTTTCCATTTTCAGATGTTTTTAATGTTCCTTTCATGGTATTCCCTTCAGTGCCCTCAAGGTCCTTATGTTATATTTTATTCATTCTATAGTATATAACCATGCACATGAAATCCAAGTTGATCCATGTACAGTTATAAATGTAACCTTGTCGAGGCAATAAAAATGTTAAAAAGTTATATGCCCATAAATTCTTAAATCTTTATATTGATAATCATATATAATATATAAAATCCCTTTAAGCAAAGACATAAATGGCCCATTTAACTTCTAAAGTTAGAATTATTTGGTTTTGTATCAAAGAATGTTATAAATCAAAACATGTTGGTTGTAAATGTTACAATAGATTACACAAATTGCATAATATATCTTTTTAAAAGGGTAACATCAAATCTTAAGATGTGAAATGTGTTGTTAATCTCGTTTTAAATTCCATACTATTGTTCACAATATATATATGTACACAATACAATAACACTTATAACTTTTGCCAACTGCTGAGAAACCTAAATATGTAAATGGGCTTGAAAAATCTGCAGAATGTTTGGATATACTTTTTTAGATTTTGTTATAAAAACAGAAAGGAAATCAAATACATGTATATGTTTAAATATTTTTGGGGGAAGGGAGTTTGTGAGGGGCAGCAACAACAGATGCAGTCATAATTAAACATGAACCAAAGATATTTTCCTTGAACCTTTTTCCTGAATACATTTACCATTATGTAAAATTGTTGTTTGAGTGTGATCAATTTCAAAATGAAAAGAATGTGTCTAAATCACATATCTTAAGTGATTTAGTACTCTGGTAGAACAAAAACATCTCTACAGTATTGCTTATCCAAATTCTACAAGAGCTATTCATTAGATTGAAATAGATGTTCCTCAATACAAATATTGCATCCAACACTTTTACACAATGATACAATTTATATTGTGTTTAATAAACTAATGAGCATTGGCTATAAATTCCTACTAAATCATTATATCATCCTATTAATTGTATGGATAAGAATTAGACCATTTATGTAATTTAAAGGCCTCTTTGACAGTGTTTTTCTAAAAAATCAAAGTTGTCTTCGTAAACGAAGTATATATTTCATGTTGCCACTTTAACCTAAAAATATAATCACAAATTAAAAATAACAATATGTTCAGCATACCTGCCAACCCTCCCGCGCAAACGACGAAATTCCGGAAATCTCCCGCTTGTCGGTCCGCTCCCGCATTTTCATTTGAAAACTTTGGTCAATAGTTTTTATGTTCGATATATAAGTAATCGAAATTCAGTTCTGCTATGTCAACTCCAACAAGATAGAGGTCTTTGTCTGGACCAAGCGGCAGTGTAAAAAAGAAGAAATTGATAACTGCAAATTGAAATATCAAGCAGATTTGAATGAAAGATTTTCAATTTTTACGATCAAGTTCACTTGGCAATGAATCTTTTAGCACATCATGTTCAATCAATTTTTTTATATCTTCTGGTGGTCTCTATGATGTTTGAAAGCATGCTTAGTGCGAGACTCACAACAAATTCAAAATATGGAATGTTATGAGTTATGAGACTTGGAGGTATTGAAAAAGGCTTAAAAAAAAAGACTACCTTGTATAGATTATAACCATGAATTGAAGAAATACAGAATACTTATTAACTCTTATAAGTGTTTTGTAGATGAACACTTTAACAGGTCATATATTTAACTTGAAAATGTCGTTCGCGCAAAATCTCCCCCTCAGCTGTCATAGGTTTCAGAGGTTGGCAGGTATGATGTTCAGTAAAGTACCAAATTTGCCACTGGTCAAAACTTTGGCATATATTTTTAAAAATTAACATCATAATGCTTATGTGTACTAAGTTTCAAAACCTCATGGCAAAATACCTTTAGACTAAAATTTAAACCTGATATGGGACAAATCATATAAGGAGGAATAGAGTAATGGAAGGGCACAGACCTGAAAAGATTATGCCCCTCTACTTTCTTAGCCTGAGCATAAAAAATTTTGCCTAAAATGGCATGGCACTAAATCTATTTGATTCCTTTATATAAAAGAAGAGGATAATCAGTATTTCTTACTTCAATGCAATTCCATCATTCCAATCTGTTGTAAAGTTGCTGATACCACATTCTGGAATTACTGCCTGTATCCATGCCAACATCAACTTCTTTGTTGGGAATTTGGTTTTTCCAATTTGGTAACGGAGAATAAGGTGCCATATTAGACCTAATATCAACTTCAGGTTTCCAGTTACAATGTCATCACTTCCTGTAAATATGAAAATTTTACAAATCCATTACGGAAATGTTAGATTTGAAATTAAGGAACAAACTACATATAAATGTTAGTTGGTAGTAATTAGAGGTAAATGTTTAAGACAATGTAATCTACCTCCAGTTTTCTTGTCTAAATCTTTTGCTAAAGCCCATTGCTTTCTTTTCCTATTGTTATATGAGAGTTTATGATTTATCATAGAGTTATCTCCCATTCTTTAAAATCTTAATTTTTTTTTTAAATTTGGTTCATATTTTATTTTTTTTATTCAAAAAATAACTATTTATTTCTTCTCTTTTTTGTTGGGGTGGGGGAGCTTAGAAGCATTAAAATAGATTTTCTGTATTTTAAAGATATTCATACTTTAGACAAGATACTGAAAAACAATCCAAATTAATACTTGTTAAAAAAATAACAATTAAAATTCATATAAAAAAAAAAAAAAAAATCGAGACAGATTTAGGATTATAATGTATTGCTTTTCCTCCTTTATAAATTTTTATTTTAAGTACAAGTGTATGTACATTTAAAGACCATCTTTTTTTTGTGATCAGCCAAAATCTTATAATACAATAACACTAAGTCACCTTATACCTTATTGAAATTGTGTTCATTGTACAAAATGTAGTTTACTGATTCAGTATCTTTAAATAGATTATTTTGCTTTTAGGCACAATATAAGTTGACATATTTAAATAAAATATACCCCTTAGTGTAAATGTAGATTAGTTTAAATTGAATGTCACTTATCAGAGATTACAGGTTTTAAGTGAAAAAGATGACTTGCATGCTCGAAGCTTTCATTTGAAAAGCAATGTGTACTGGTTTATGTATTTACTTTAGCGTACTATAAGATTCCAACTTACTATTGTACTTGTATACTGCATTTGCATAAAAATATACAGCAATTGCTATATATTTGATAAAGCAAAATCAGTTGAAGCTTTAAACTTATGTCTTGTATTTGCTCGTATTTTTAAAGCTAGGCATTGGCAATCACCAATGAAATGAAACAGTTCAAAACAAAAATAGTGCATTTGATAGCTTTATTAACATTTTTGCTAAATCCTTTTGTTTAACTAGCATTTACAATTCATTAGTATTCACCAGCCGAAAGGTTTAAAACATAAAAGTACAAAAAATGTAACCATGAGTTGCATAACAGAACTTTTATGTTACATTATGCAATGTATAATGCTTTTGCATATATAATTATAGCAAATGAAGCTTTTTATTTGCATTTAAATTCAATTTGTCTGCAACTTGAAGATCAGAAAATTGATGGATATCAATATCTACAATTTATAGACAAATAGAATGTAAATTATAAAGAAAAAGGACATTTACTATAATTATGATCATAATGTAGTAATTTCAATGTTTTATTCGAAAAATTAAATCATTTCTTTTTTTAATTTTAAAATAAATTTCAGTTTTGATTTTAAAAGAATTGTTACTTATCTTTCATAATGATAATTATATATAACATATGTTTAAGTAACATTTGCAAAAAATAATATCTGATACCAGTATACTTTCTACAATGTACATAAAATTGAGAATGGAAATGGGGAATATGTCAAAGAGACAACAACCCGACCATAGAGCAGACAACAGCTGAAGGCCACCAATGACCATATCCATATACAATGTACAAATGCACAAATACCTATGATATGAAATCAAGCTGAGCAAGCAAATGCTATTTTGAAGTTTTTTTACAGTTATGAATCAAATTCAAATGACACGGTTAGAAAAGTTTGAAGATTATTTCACTTAGTACAAAAATGTCAGCAAAACTACAAATATGAAAGCCAGATAAGACCATGGGAAAAGAGCGAAAATTTCATAGAAACAATTATCCACCAAACATTACACAGAAAAACAAGCAGACCAAGAATGTTTATGTGTTTTAAAGGTTCAACAATTTAATTTTGAGGAATGCTTAAACATAAATTTTTGTAGTGAATTATAAATTGTCCAGAAAAAAAAATTAAATATCAACTAAATGCCTGCCCTGTATTGACCCATGGCAAGTAAATATTTAATGTGCAGTCAGTAAAACATTTGTAAAAAGGACATTGGTCTTGCTCTGGCTGTTGCATTCATGCTAGGGGGTCAGTTGTTTTAAGAAATTCCAAATGAAGTTGTGACTAGCTCTTTTTGGCCAGTGAAAAAAATAGTATTTAACAGAGAAGACTGGCTGAAAAATTGAAGTATCAAGGGGTGGATTCTTTAAATACTGGTAAATAAATCATTCCCACCTCTCTATCCAGAATCTTCATTTCAATCTACATATTTTGAATTCATTTGAAAATAACATGGATGTTAAACAATTGCTTTATGGTCAGTAATGTCAAATATGCCCTCTGTTCTGATAAAAAAAAAAAAGAAGAAGTTTGATTGATTGATTGGCACAAAAAAGCTATAACACGTCGATAAAGAAGTTTGAAGACAGGTTTAAGTTTTGCAATAGTGGACAAATTCAAAGCTTGTGTATTTTCTGGTTTGATTTATGTTGTTGGGTTGCTATCTAATTGACATACATGTACACCCAACTTACAGACCTATGGTTCATGTTGTGAGGGAGTTACACAGTCAAAATTTAACTTTGTCAACTTATTAAAAGTGTTGTTTTTCATTTAAATATAATGGAGTCAACAGAGTTCTATGCTATCTTAACATGATCTTTAAAAAAACTCATTAGTGCATATTTTGAAAATACATGTTAGCTAATAGGTACAACCCTACTCTTCTTTTATCAATGATGCATATACCTAATACATTTACATAATGTATTTTCCACAAAAATAATGGAAATCCCAAAGAGCACTATGAAGAACACTTATCAAAATTGTCTAACCTAAATATTACATGTATTAATATGTACCAAGTGTAAAGGGACCTTGACTAACTTAAGACACCAAGTTTTGGTGGTCTTGTGCTTGGAGGAACTGTTAGTACATGTATATACCAGGGTTTTAGTCAAGTTAAATAATAAACTGAAGGATCAGAAGGTGGATTTAGTTGAAAAATATTGTTCCCATAACTATCCAGAAGAGAAAAATTTCCTATCATTCTTCTTGGTCTGAATATAGTTTGACAGATTTTAAAGTATGCACATGTATTACAGTGATTGATTGTAGTTTGTTTTATGTCTAATGGCAAATATTTTATGCATGTTCAGGTTGATAGACGTACATGTATTACACTCCATGGACGAGAAACTGGTGTATTCGAACTTTTTTCTGGGTTTTTTTCATGTTTGTTTGTTAAATTGTTGGTTTTTTAAGGGGGAAGGGGGGGATATGGTCATAACATTTGTGAGTAAACAAATTTGTGCAGTCATCTTAGATGTAGTACAGGAATATCATGAATAAATTATGCATTATGATTTTTTGTATGTTTTTTAAATATATTCATTATCATGATTATTGGGTCATGATGTTAAGGCTAGACAATTAAAAGTTATATACACTCCGCTCTGGGTTTTCCATTATTTTGGGGTAAAATACTAATGTACATGTAAGTGTATGCTTGTACCTATTGGCCTATCAAGGTACATGTATCAATGATATACAAAAAACTATCACTCTATAAACTGAAAGTAAATCTTTTTGTTGACATCTTTAAACTTACTGATAACATCATGCCATGAACCATGACATGAATGACCACATATTCATATAGGAAGATTTTGCAGTCTCTGACCCACTGTTTACCTCCATAGTACATAAAACCAAACAAAATAATATGTTGGAAAATAATTTAGCCATAGGGAATGTAAGGATATTTATTAATAATTAAAAAATGAACATTTTCTTGTTGAGTCATTTTATCTAAAGTGACTCATATTTAAAGAAAATGATTATTTTTCCTGAAAAAAAAACATATTTTGATTTTCAGTTTTGAAATGGTACATGGCATTTAAAAATACCATAAACAGTTCTTCTTCTGTATAAACAGATAAATATCACCATATATACATGTACAATGTATGTAACAAGAATGGTCTAATTTGCCACTGTTTCTCAACATAAGACTGGACAAATCTTTACTACTCTTTTGTTCATAATTGATTAGATGTTTCAGGTGAAATTGAACTCCACAAATCATCTGTCCAACAATTATGGGCAATAATGAACTTGCTCTATCTTACATTTTTGAATCTTGAATGAGTGAGTGACCAAAGGTGCAGCAACAAACACTGAGTGGATTTTTAATGGTATTTTCTAATTCAGTGTAAGCTGCCTATAAAAATTATTTAACATTTGTTTTAAAAGTTTTTATGTGATTGTACATTTCAAGTGTAAAGAATAATTCAAAATATTTATTTTTAACACAAAAAATGTCCTTTTTAAGGAACTAGTCTATTCCTCATTCATTGGTTGGTGTCCAACCTGACCAATGAGTCGATATACTATACCATGGGACTAAAACCTTTAGGTTTTATCTATCTAGGTACATGTACTATATATTTTATTTCTTACTGTCACCCTAAGTCATCCTCTCTGACTAAATATAAGAAACTACATGTAATGGTATGGTTCAACTTACCAATATTCACCAGTCTGACATTGTCATTTGCAATGGCATTCAGTGCTTTTGAAACATTCTCCAAGTTCTGATGATGATTTGTTGGCTTTTTGATAATCCTTCCAATTTTCTTTCCTTGCAAAGCTTCAACAAGATAGCACAGTCGAACTCCATCCGAAAAGTCAGTCTGCAAATCTTCAATAAGATCACAATTGTATATCCTAAGTTGTTCGTTCACCCAATTTGCGAATGTGTTTTGCTGGATTAAGACCCAACGATCTGTTTCACCTCTCAGACTCATTGCTGCATGTCCTTCTCTGCTTAGAGCACGAGCTGACATTGTCAGTTTTTTGCCAAAAATTTCTCAACTTTGACACTTTTTTAACTGAACCACACCTAACGTACAATTGTATTGTTACACCTGTAGGGTATTGTTGCTGTGATTAATGTCCTGGATATCAAAGGGTCTCTTATCGGGAAAACCTGTCAATAAATACCTGTCCAGTTTCGATGATGTTACAGACAGGAACTTATGGTTCCAACTGACATCCAATTCCGGTCCGACCAAACCGGTTTGCAGGAATTACTAGCGAAGGCGTAAATAGACACCTTTAAAAAAAACCGCCCTCTGGCGGGCAGGTAAATTTTTGATAGTTCATTCATATTTTCACGCTTGACCGGTTTCAGTTGTAAACAAACGGGACGGGTGTGACGGGTAATAAAAATGTAATAAATAATTCATTATAGCAAGGATTTGTATAGAAATCCTTGATTATAGTTTCTAGCATTTGTTGTTTAGGAAACAAAAAATCATTAGTTGATTCATAATTAATCATTACCTGTCAGGTGTATTGATTAACGTCGATCATTTTTACAGGCAAACAGTATAATATTAAATCAATTTACAGGTAATTTGACACGATTAGTTTACCAATTATCGAAAGGGTTCAAACAGAAGTGCATTTCGTGATTGTTAATCGAGTTAATTAAAATACTTTTCAAATAAAATTTGGTACATGTCCTTTGTTCAAAAAGCATTCGGTTGCCTTACGGCCAGTGGCAAATATTTCACTTAGGACGAAACAAATAATTTTAAGCAACATATTCAAAAGGAAGAATCTGTTAAGGACAAAATAAGTATCACTAGAATTTTTTTTAAAGAAGACAGAAGTTTGTCCTGATTATTAGAAAATAATAACAATTAGACGCTATCGAAAGAGCCAAACAAATCGTTTAAGATGAAGATGGTTTAAATTAAAGTAAGGATTTGCATTCTAATCTTTATATTTCATCTCATTAAAGTCATATGAATTAAGTTCCGGTCCGTGAAACACTTATCAATTCAAATTTTAGTTTTTTTGGAATTTTGATCAAAGTTTTAAAATATCAAAATTCCAAATTTTTGAAAATTTTGAAATTTTGAAATTTTCACCAAATAATCAAAATTTTAAAACTCTAAAAATCATTTTAAAATTTGATAGTTTAGAGATTTGATCAAACTTTAAAAGTACTAAACTTAACGTGCAGTTTTGATTATTTCGCTTTTTGAAAGTTTGATTTGTTTTAATTTTGATTAAGATAATATTAAAAAAAAGAAAACTGTCTAAAAGAGAACATACGCATCATTATCGCGTTTGGGATACCTGCAAAGTGCGAAACGGAATAAAAGCGGAACGAAACGAACGAAACGAAAAGAATTGAAACAAAATGAAATGAACAGTTTCTGTTACTTAAAAGTTAATGTATAAAACAAGAGGCAGACAGTTGTAAACGGTGAAAAATTGATTAACACAAAAAATATTTCTCAAAAGCGGAGAATTCATTTTAAAACAAGAAACACGGCTCTGATTATGATCATTCTTAGTTAGGAATAAAAAGCACGAAACATATCAAATCATTTTTAATTGCAAACAAAATAATTTAAAGAAGAAGTCGTTTTTCTTTAAACAAATTTGACATCACATGAGATAACAGTATCCTGACATTTTTAAGTTTTGCGTTTATTGAAAAAAAAAAACATTTTTTAAACCTATTTAAACCTGCATCAAATAGATTAATCTACTTTATGTTTAAAAATAATCTAACATAAGCTTAGCGTTTCAGATAATTCAGGACTATTTGGTTATCCAAGCGTCCATCATTTAGGAGTAACAGTGAAAACTGACCAACTCGCAGTAAGCCAAATAATATGGTAGGGTTGAGTATGTATATATTTTCATTTAAGCAACACAATGGTTCAATACACATGTTTTTCCTGAAATTTTATATTGTTAATATTTGAATTTTGATATTTTAAACTTTGATCAAAATTCCAAAAAAACTAAAATTTGAAAACTTTTTAAAATTTTGAATTGATAAGTGGTACACGGACCAAGTTCCGAATGATTATAATGTAAAGGAAATTATAGAACCAAGTCTTCTGTGTGCTTTTTTAAAGGGTCACTAGCTGTCAAATTCATGTTCACCGATTTGACTCAAATTCCCATATTTGACTTTTAACAATGTAAAACATTTATCCAAATAATTAAAAGTCTAGAATAAACAATTTACAGAGCATGGGCTCGATAATATGTAGCTTCGTTTCGTGTGTATTCTAGTCTAATTAACTATCGAGTTGAATTCCAAAGACCTCCGATGGCCATATAAGGGATATATAAACATAAATATAGATATAAATAGATAAAGCGAACTCGTGCAATTGGATTTTGCTAGGTCTATCTAATTTCATATTATGGATTAAAAATATATGTTAATCATCGTTTTTACCTGTATAAGAATGATTTTTGTGGATCGAATCAGTCAATCAAATGATTTATCTTTGTTTCACTTTCAATGTTGACATTCTTTTCCTTTTCCGATTCATGCGTTATCCATCTCTAGTTAAAGGGTTAAATTGAAGTTCACGTGAAATACGGATCCAATGAGGTCGAATTATTCACTTGCAAGTGAATAATTCATCATCAATGTTTCTTCGCTTATTTTGACAAAATTGAACCATAGTGGCTGCTAAAAGTGAATAATTATTTCACTATTTCACTTTCATTAATGATTGAACAAAAAAATTCATATTTAGATTTTTTATATATCTCGTAGCTAGTGCCCCTTTAAATACTTATTACGAATCCGTAACGTAAAATCAAGGATTTGTATAGTCACTATATTTGATTGTTGATCAAAACCTTTGGCTGCTAATTATGGTTCGGGTTTTGTGCCGAAGTTAACCGACTGTGACCTTGATAAACTATCAACGCAGAATCATGGAGCGTGTGGAAAAGTGAGATGATAGAACGACGTTTTTTGTTTATCTTATATATTATCAACTTCTAATGTGGGTCTCATTGGGGTGTAAGCGTGATCCGGGATTGGCCGATTTTTTTGTAATCTTGACACGCGAAAGTCAAATTATTTTGCGTGAAAACGGGAAACGAAGTCAGGCGGGACACGTAAAATTACAAGCGCAATCATTACAATGATAAGCGGGATACGAGATTCTCACAAAACAAATCCGGGATCAGACCCCCTCCCTAAATGAATCCCCCTCTATAAATAAAAATTCAACTTTGTAATAACAGTTGTTAAATGACTTGTATCAAAAGTTTTCTTTCAAAACCGATTGATAATATCTTCTTTCCGCGTTTGTTTACCTTATCTTTCATTACGGTCTTGGCACTTGTGCTGTGTGGTTGATGAACATCTAACGAGAGATGTCATGGTAAAGTACGAGTACGGGAAGACAATATTTCAATAGTACGTCACGTGAGTACACTTTTGAAAATTTGGATAAAATAAAGGTTTTTCCTTTAAAAGAAAGTATACCTGCAGGTGTTTTATGGTAAAACTTGGTCATTCATACATACGAAAAATATTCAAGTTTCAGTTTGTTAAATTTGAAGTATCATATGACTTTAGATTGCTACCACAGTCAATGATATGAAAATTAGTCCGAGTTTGCTCTGATATCTGACAGTATTTGTTTGCTTTCTTTGGTCATGGGAAAGGCTCTATCAAAATCCCCTTAATGCCTGCATGTCATACGGCAAAGTAATATTGGACTACACAAAGGTATATAGTAAAATTCAGAATTAAATAAACCCGTTCTGGCAAAGCCTCAGTAACTAGTGTCCGAGAGTTATCTTTCTTTGCATTAGTTCTGCAAAACTTGTCATATTTAGTGATAATGTGTTTTTTCCTAACTTTACACTGTTTCTAATGAAGTGGAAATTTTCGAGTTTAAGAAATGTTAGGTGTTGAAACGAAAAGCAAGTTTTAACTTCAGATTGTTTTGACCATAGAAATCGCCTTTCAAGATTAGTTCATATAGGAATTGAATAAAAGTGTACGGCATATAAGGGAGCTACCATTTGATTTTTAGGGGGGGGGGGGGGGGGGGGGGGGGGCTAGGATGAAATTTGAAAAAGATAGGCAGGACATGAGTTTTGAGTAAAAAAAAGGGCAGGATGAGACACTTTGCAAAAAAAAGGCAGGATGACAATTTATGTAAAAAAAGTCAGGATAAACTAAAAAAAAAGGCAGGACCGAACAGAGTGAAAAATAAAAAGGCAGGACAGAGATTACAACGAAAAAAAAAATGCAGGACAAAATTGTTCATGCTAGCCCACACCCCCACCCCCACCCACCCATAAAAATCAAATGGCAGCTCCCTAAACTTATGTTTTTTTACGTCCAAACACTTGTACGATAAGCCACTTTTACCCACATGGTATCTTGTCGAGGGGAAATCTCACCCTTAACATCTTAATGTACGCCCTGACAGTAAATATCCTGAAATCCCGAATCAACATTTTAATCACTGTAAATTGATACCTAATTTTTTAGTATAAAAGCCATAAATTTTAAAGCAGATAATGGAGATAACAACTTAGTTTGAGGAAAGTCCACAACCGGCTACAATTTGAAGTTAATTAGAAGTAAGGCAAGCTGTTTCAAGTTTCAATAGAATAAGATTGTCGTAGGTTGCTATCTGTCATATTTTTTGCGTTATTTCCGTTTTTATTTTTATCACAATTCAGGCCGTTACATAGTTTTCTTGTTTGAATTGTTCCACATTTTGTCATGTCAGGGCCTTTTATAAATGACTATACGGTATGGATTTTGCTCATTGTTGAAGTCCATTAGGTGCCCTATACTAGCAGACATGGTAAGTAGTTGACTTATATAATTTGCAATAATATCACATCTACTTATTTTTATAAAATGGTGGTTCTAACTTTTTAGTCTAAATATCACTATATTTTCTTATATAGTACAGGTACACCGGGTACTTTTAGCGACTGGTTCTCACGGTAAGATACATGTCTGTCTGTTTTTGATTCACTCATGCTCATTCAGACAACATGCATAACCGATATGGATGTTTGGTTATTGTTGACATTGGGTTGCGGTCTCATTTACCGATGAAACAACTATCATTTACGGAATAAAGAAACAAATTATGTCATCCAATGTACCGAGTGGAGAAAAGTAAAACCACACAACTCATTTGTAATTAGAAATAGGAATTTCAATGCTTAATATTTTCAAAACTCAGGTAAATTACGGATAAATTCGTGCAAACGTAATACCTGTCAAAAGTCAAATTCGCGCAAATGATTATTGTCT